CCCTTTTTTGGCAAAAAGACCAATTTTCCATAAGGCCTATGATATATACATAATATTTATTAAACATTATTTTTCAGAATTTGTTTTAATGTATTTGTTTAATTCGAAAAGAAAAGAAAACAGCTAACTAACAATAAAACATAATTATAATACTTGTATTAAATTCGCCTGATATCTGTGTTTAACAAAGAAGTTTTATAGAAATTGATTATAAAACGATAAAAATATGTATGTATTATGTACACCTATACTTACTCGCTTCAATAAGGCAATCGATAACATTTTTAAAAATAAATTAAAAACGTTTATTAACAGGATCAAACGATATTAATTATCGACTTTAATATTTATAAAATGTTCAAAAATAATTATTAATCCTTTTTGCGATAAAGCGTCACTATGTTATGCACTGATGTTTTAGAGCACAGGAACTCACGTAATAATAAACTGCGATTCAAAAATCGCATTTTTCTTCTTATACTTAGCGCAATAATTAATATATTGATTAGATCCTTCGTATATATATATATATATATAAATATTATTTCACCCTCAAGAATATTATAATCAATACAAATATATAATATTGTTAACTTTTTATTTTCAAACCAGATTCGAAAAATGAATATTTTTTTCTGAAAAACGTTTGATAGCACATAATATAGGATTTATAATTTAGAGGAGTATATAGTAATAATAAACAATTTATTAACTTTTCCAATACTCATCCGGTTTAAATTTTAAACTGTTATGCATAGTCATGTAAGTTTTACCTAAAACGAATTTAAGAGTCACGCAAACATATTTCCGTAAAATTGCATTGCATGCCTAGTCAATAATTAGGTAACCGTTGTTATATAAAGAGTTCCGAAAGTTAAGTGGTCAATCGCTTGCATTTAGCCACCCTGTAAATAAATATCGCGTATAGGTATCTAGGTATATGATATCAGATTAAAAATAAATTTAAATTAATATCATAATTAATTAATTATTATAATTATTTTGTATAAATAATAATATAAATCGATAAATTACAATTTGTGTATTCAAGTATCAAACAAATTTATGAGATAGCCGTGTGTTAGAGATACCTATAACAATCGGGGAACTGTGATAAACGGGGGATAAACGTATATCCCTGAAACTGGTGTATCTGATTTTATCATAACGACATGTGAACATCGCAATTTCTAGAAAAATATTGATATTCACAAAGGGGTGGAAACGAAGGATGAGGGTTGCCGTTGTAAAATTAAAAGCCAATAAACATTATTCGAATAATAATAAACAAAATCGTGTTAAAATAAAGCTTAATTGCATAATGGTTGGAAAAAAAACAATAGAAATCAAATTTATTTAAATTCCTCTAAGAAATATGACGGATCGTAATAAAAAAAAAAAAAAATCACTCTGTATAATGGAATGTTTTCCTCTCGCGACCTTACTGCATGTTCTGCAGTGGTGAAACGCGTTATTGAAATTCCGCGAGCTTTGGACTAATTTGTGACGGAAATGGTCGTGTAAATATATTAACGTTGTGGTTATACATACGCAATCCTGAATTTTGTTTTAATTACTTAACCAATCGATCAAATCGCGTCGTCGGGACGGTAAAACGCACGTGTGAATGATATTTACTAAGAAATAAAAACACCTTTGAATCTATATTACCAATCATTAATAATAAAGGTATTTCAGATTGATGAAGAAATAGTACGCTTCCGCGGTATTTAAATTTTATATATTCTTTTTAAAGTGGAATTTGTCATCATAACATTCGGTCAGAAAATATCGGAAAAATCGAAAATTTCACAGCGGATTACTTTACCTATATCTGCGAGGGTGTACGAACAAAAGGTAAAGGTGGTATCTTGTTTCGAATTGATAATATCATTAATGTAATTGATTTCTATTTAAATTGAATAAAAAAAAATCAATATTTTGTAAACTAATAATATCATATTAAAATTAAAAAACCGTGGTAACCTGATAGTTGCAATCGCAATGTTTTTACATACCAGTCGCGTACTTTTAAGGGGCGATGAGCTTCAATATGCCCGTTAAAGCGGCTTTGACACTTATCACGAGTCACCAATATAGTTTGTTGTAGTGCAGTGGCGGCGCGAAAGAGGTTAATTTAAATCACGTGATTCACAAAAAAAAAAAAATCAGACGGGTGGGTTGTGGGTGATTGGGTGTTCAGAAATATAAAAAATAATTATTATATTTTTATGAAACAAGTCATTAAAAGAATTTTAGAAGGCGGAAATTTTTATAAATTTCATTTAACACCCCCCAAGGAAACTTTGTTTTTATCACCGCCGGTATGTAGATTTTCGGTAGGGGTGAGTGGGTGGAAAATTAAATGTAAAAATACTTCACGCCGTCACTGTCTGTGGGCGTATTATAACAATAACGACAATATTATTGAAACGTGGTAACGGAGACAAAACTGCAGTCGGACGGAGCGATGAGGACGTTAGCGAGGTGTAAAATATTATAATAATATCGCCGGTACGGTCGATCTCGATAGCCACCGCCCCCCTCCTCCATATATTATATTATGTGTATGTATACTTATACTTATATTTCAAGTTTCCTCCCGTACACGGTATCATGTTTATTGACAAGCCAATTTCCGCGCACTTCAGTACAAACCTCGCGCTCCTTCGGGGGTTTCCGGGTGCGCGGGCAATTCTCCGCTATATATAATATTTGGTGTGAACACGACAGCACACCGTGAAATCACATTACCTCGCCCGCGTTCCTTTTGAATTTCCGTCGTCGTCTTCTTCCTTTTTTTACAGTTTTTTTTTTTTCTTTCGTCCTCCTCCCATGCCCCCTACACACTACGCGTACGGCTCGCCGAACCCGACGTGCCGCGTGTGCCTTTTCACTCTTTATTAAATCAACAGCCCGCTCTGCCGTCGCCACCGCCGCCACTGCTGCCGCCGATACTACTGCTTCTGCTGCCCATTCTGCACCACCGCCGGCCATTCACTATATACTCAGTTTTTCCCCCGGGCAATGTGACACGACTGCTGATTTTTCGTTATTACAAATTTATATATATATATATATATTTGTGTGTGTATACACTGTATACAAGCCAACGGTTTCTGTCGTGTGCATATAGTTGCTTTTTCTTTTTTTTCTTTTTTTTTTGCCTCGCTTCACTCGTCTTCACCCTTCACTACGACCGAGTCGCCGATATCCGAGTCGCAATAGATGGCGATTAGAAGACGGTAAAAATAAAAAACAATCATCGACGGGGGAACTATAATAATATAATATCGCAGACTCGTAAAAATACGGCCCGCGCGAAGCAAATAACAATATTTGGCGGCGGCGGTGATAAAAAAAAAGTCTCACCCTATAAGTACGTATATATATATATATATATATACACACACACAGACATACCCGACGACGACAAAGTTTTTTACTTATTCTGTTCGCCTATACATTCACTCGTTTATGGCCAATGCGGATCTTACTGTCGCGCGTCGTCGTCTATACCCATAGCTAACAACATTCGGTTGGCGAATTTCAATAATATAAGTACCTGTATTCCAGTCTCGTTTTTCCGAAAACAAATTTTCCCGAGAATATTCCGTTATATGCGTGTATAGCCGCGTGCGTATAGTGCTACAATTGGTTTTGTTTTATTTTACCGTATTGTAAAAACTATTTGCGGAGTTTTGTAGGCCACTCGTTTAACTAAAAGATCAGCACTGCTGATGGGTGTACCGCTGCAGTTTTAGAAGCGAAGTGGAAAGGGGCAATACATAATATAGAATAATTTAATTCAATATGTATTTCTACGCAACGATATAGTATTGCTAACGAAAACCTATTCTGCGCGGGGTATTATTAGTCGTAACAAGTTTTTTCCAATTTATTAAAGAAACTTAAAAAATAGTTTACCCCATGCAGCAATGTAAACACTACAAGAAAATTCCGGTAAAGTAGTTCTAACACATTTAGACACACCATAATAAAACCAAAACATTTATTAACATCCATGTTATAAAACATAATGTTTTTAATTTTATACAAATTGATCAACTCAGTTATCCGACGGATTTTCATTATCTCTATAAAACTCACACGCTTTTCCGTTTTATTTACACAGACGACTACATATTTAATAGTAAAATAATAATTTATTTTAGCATTGCTCTCGGTGAAAAGTTCTCGTTTCGTTGATCGGTAGTTGTAAACTAAAACAATCGTATTCGTCGAAGTTATATGAAATTTTCGCTCCGTTCCGTTTGCTTATGCTACGTTATTTTTAAATCGATTTTCACGGCTATGTTTCCTGTTATTTGTTCCGTCTCAATAAAATGACCACGTGAAAAATTTCATTTTTTTCACAAAAGTTTTTGTGTACAAAACAATGTCGCGATACCTACCTGTAATTACGTCGTCTTCGCCGTTTTAACGGCCGCGCAGTTCACTTTGACACGAAATAAGGCATGTGCTCTTTTTACGCGTCAACCGTATTCTACCATAAGGTGACGTACTGATATATTTAATAACATCGGTAGGCGAAAATATCGATTTTAACTCAGACTGGAGGCTATTATGGAGGCGCACACAACATTTATGAGAAAGAGAAAAAAGATCATACGGTCCTTGGGACGGATCTATGTACTTGGTTTTGGCCGACAAAATCAATTATTTAGGTAGTACAAAATAAAAAATGTTAGTAGAATTTTCGGCGATGAACATTGGGCTCAACGAAAGAAAACGTTTAAAAAGTCGGACATAATTGGTGTCGTGAATGTTGTAGGTAAGAAGCTGAGGATATATTTAAGTTATAGAGATTTAGGATTTAGTGATTATAAGTTTATACACTGAAATCAACGATAAATAATTGCAATTCAAAGCGATTCTAAACAGTAAGGTTTCATAGTATCGTTAAAGTAAAAATTAAATAATAGCATCTTCGCTACATTCAAATATCTAAAAAAAAATAGTCCGTTATTATTGTTAACAACCAAATAATTGTTTACTTTATTCACATAATAATAATAATAATAATAATGTATCGTAATAATTATTGTAATATTCATAATAATGTATTAACTATTTTTAAAATCAAAACGTAGGTACAATTTATGACGCGGTCGCGAAAACCGCATTCGGGCGATGTAGTGGTGTAGGAGGCGGAGGGGGTGGGTATAGTGAGACCGATACTTTTTATACACCGACGATAGGCGGGTTCGGGGTGACGGACATTTACGTATCATCGTATAATTCATTATCGTCTTATTCGCGTTTTTTTTTTTTTTTTTTACAATAAAAATAAACAATATTCTCGACGATCCGCGGGATATTATTGCGGGTCTTTGCGAGACTCACGCGCGGACACAAATAGGGCACGGGGGCTCGGCTCTCGGCGGGAATCCGTCCTATCCATCCAATGTATATAATAATATGCATATATATGTAAATCAATTTTTTTTTTTTTTTCAACGCCCCTAATTTTATTTACACGCGTAATAATATTATGGTTATAATATCGATATTGCTGTTACCAACAACCAACGCGTCATGGTTACAATTTCGCTTGTCCAATATCACAATAGAGCTAACGAAAAATAAAATCCACACACACACACACACACACACACACACATAATTTATTAGTATGACGTTATAAAATTGTAATCGTAATACGGTAGTCGTCACAGGGCCGAACGTCTTAATAGGGCCTCCAGACGTCCGTCTGTTTGGCATTGGTCTTAGGCGACACGGCGGGCGACGTCGTCTCGGCATCGTTGTCGGCCGGGGTCGGTGATTTTTTCGCCGACCCGTTCTCGGCGGCCGACGTTTCCTCGTTTTCGTCACTGCCGCCGCCGCCGCCGCCGCCGCTCGCGCACAGTTCTGTGTTCTTTTGAGCCGCCGCAGCGGCTACCGCGGCAGCAGTCGACTCGTTGTCGAATATCATCGTGTTGCGTATGTGACTGAGATACGTGCTCGGGTACAGCTGAGAGTACAGCCATTGCGTGTGAGGTGGCAACAGGGGCGCGTTCAGAAACAAGTTGATCAGCGACGGTGCCACCAGCGGGATGGGTTGCGTGACCGGCGGCCCACCGGCTATCGCGTGTTGCGACCGCGGTGACGCCGTGCGCAGTGCAGGCGGCAACTGTGCCAGTGGCTTCGCGGGTGGCGACGATGGCCGCAGCATCGCCTCGGTCACCACTCGTTTGCGTCCGTCTCGATCGTCCGGCGGCGGCCCGCGCTTCTTGTCTTCCGTCAAGCCGCCACCGTCGTTGTTGTTGTTGTCGTTGTTGTTCGTGATCGGCACTGCCGCATTCACCGAAGGTGATGAACCGTCGACGGCCACGGCGAGACTCTTTTCCGCGTGATGCCTGCTTTCCCGGTGGTGTCGCTTGTGGTGGTGGTGGTGGTGGTGGTGGCCGTGGTGATCACGATGGCGCTTGTGTCCGCTCCCGGCGGCCACCGTGGTCAACAGACCCCTGTGGCCTCTGATTCCAGGTCTGTGACCCCTGGTTGACGTGCCCTCCGCGTTTACGTTCACGCTTATCGGGCCCAGCGGTTCCGTCGTGCACGTCCTGGTGGTACCATTCGCACCGCCGTTGTTGTTGCCGTCTGAAAAATGATAAAAAAAAAAAAAAAATATTTGCAATTATACCGGCGTAATCTGAAATGGTATTATAAATTAGAGGTGTCAATTGAACGATGGTTTATTGTACCCGTAATATCCGTGTCACGGTTACACTGATGTTTATGTCGAATATTCACGTAGTACACGTGACACGTGATTAATTACGTGTTGACATTCGCTTGAATTCGTGTGTTTGTCTTCACGACGTGGGCATTCGTGAAGTTAGTGAAGTCGATAAAAATCAGTAATAAAATTAACGTTTAAGGTTGTTTACGATTAAACTTGAACTGAGTAAGTTAGAAAACATTAGATTCATTCAATTTTATATCTTATGAATACTATAATATTAGATTCGTGAACGAATTCGCATATTTTATATGCATTTTTCAAGGTTTGATAACTGCTGGTAGAGATTATTATATTATATCCATTTTAAAAATGTTAATCTTTTATCAAATATTGATTCTTAACAATTGATCAACAATTTTAAGTTATAAGGGGAATTATATCACCGTTACTATAATAATGTATATCAATGGGTAAATGGGTAATAGCTTTTTCTATTCATATATTTTAGTGATAGCCGAAATCGATGTCTATATCACAGCGGTTTTAACCCTTTTTATTATTTTTATTTTTATCGAACACACACCTCTTCCCCCTGAAACACACTAAAAAAAAAAAAAAAAAAACGGACAACAAGACACTGCTTGTTTCACAGTTCGGTTAAGCTAAAGATTCGTTCGGGGAACTTTTTTTATCGGTCTGTTCCAATTACGTTAATATACGCTTCCGGTTTGATTTCCGGATCCGTTTTAAAACGATTTGCTAGCGTGGCGCTTCCGTCCGTAAGAAAGAAAAAAGAAAGAAATGTACGTCTGATTACGTTACGTGTTTGACACGAATCGGACGTAAAAAAAACCTCGATTTTTTTTCTCATAGAGAAATTGGATACATATTGAATTTCGCTATAGAGCTACATAAAGGCACGGTAGGTATGATAAAATTGTCATTTAAGCGTCTAGGTGGTCCATAAATCAATCATTTTGCTGAGAGTGCCTAACGAAACTATAGCGAATGTAAGGGAGAGTGTTTTGGGTTCAAGAACCCCTCCCCCCTCTAAACATAAACATTATCCATTAATTTACATTTTAAATTATAAATTGATTTAAAGCAATGTAAAAGTCGAATGCGATAGACATAAAGCTGAACAGCTTCTAGTCTGCGATTTTCTGAGAGGATTTAAAGTGAATTTGATCTCTGTTCATTTTTTCAGCAATTATGATTTAAACTTTTATTTAATACTATTTCCAATTTTTTTACCCTCACCCTTCATATCTGAAATGAATATATACTTTGGATTTAAAAATGTTAATCTTAAATACTGATTTAAATAGAGAATATTTTGATATGCACAACAATAATATCAGATTTACCATTAACGAACTATACAAGTGTAGACCGAAATAGTAGGGGAGAGGGTTTCTAGTAGAAAATCAAACGTGTATACTTTTTTAGGGTACAAATAGGGCTAAAAGATTAAAAATAGTTTCATAACGTAATCATTAGAGAAAATCTCCGGTTCGTGGTCACCCTCTATTGTATTCGCGTTCGGATTTGTATTTTGATGGCCGAGTACTGCACTCGATTCGATAATCGAAAACGCATTGTTTTCGATAATCCTCTGTACAACATACACAATACATATATTAATGTATATAATATGTGTATATACTGAAATTTAAACCGCCGCCGGAGGATTTTACCATGATATTATTCGTATATATCAATTGTCTATAATATTTAATATTTCTATTGTAATTATTAGAATTGTAAATACCTGCGGTGCTCGTATTAATCGTCTGTTGAATCGCTTCTGTGGCCGCTGTACTGTTGTACGGGAAAATATTAGCGAAGTTCGAGTGTTGGAACGTCGGTGGACCGCAATTGTTGGCCAAGTACGGCGGGTACGCGGTCGGAGGTAGAGCTCTGGAAAACGACGTGCTCCACGAATGGGCGAGTCCTATTGAACAGAACAAATCAAAAATCGTATCGATGTTTAAAATTCGTCTATAAAAACAGAACATACGCAGTACAACTAATGCTCCACGGGGATGAAAATGTCGGCGTCACTAGGAGGATATTGTTCGCGTATCATTATTCGGGAATTATACGAAAGAACTCATGAGCTGCTCTTGATCTTTACATTCCGAATGAACAGTCGTATTTGGCATACAAAAATAATAAGTTTATTTCCTGTTTCAGGATATGTCTATAGTCTCCAAGTTTGAACAGTTTAATTTGAAGTGAGTGTTTAATTAGTAACGGAGAACTTGTTAGTTCCTACATGTACGTACTTTCAATTTTTCCAAAAGCATACTAACAAAACATATTTAATTCAGAGCAATCTTGTTCGAAATACCAATGTGCCATAAGTGCAACATGAAAACGAACAAACTATAATTACATAATTATACTATATAATCTCCATTAAGAACGTGACCACATGATAATTGTTCTGTTTAAAAGGTGGACACTTGTGGACAGATTATTTTAATCGTTTAAAATGTTATACCTACTTATAAAATATGATATTTTTTTCTGATGTAAAATAAAAAGTTACAATAATACTATAATTTACGGTAAAACGCATTCATTTAAAAGTATCACATTTTAACATTTATATAAGTAAATAGTAAACTTATTATTAGGTATTTCTAAGTAGTTATAATATGTATTTCGCAACAATAAATACTAAAAGTATTGCCCCAACTGACTTAATTATTAACACGATTATTACAAATTACTGGATAATAACTTAAAAGTCGTACACAAAAGAATATATATATATAAAAAAAAACGTTTTCGTGAAAGTGGGATAAAAGCAGAGCAATAAATCTGGACAATGCTCCCCTAATGTGAGTACGACTGGTCACGCTATGCATTAATTTAGAGGTAATATGACCGAATATACTCGTATGTGTAAAATGGTTGATGCGGTTCAATGGTACAAAATAATGCTAATTTTTCTCATTTTCCTGTCCAAAAACAGAAATATTTTCTAAACTCGTTTAAAGAATAAAACGCTTAAAAACCTATACATATTTATATGCACCTACGTTATTTCGTCACGTGTAATAATAATAATAATAATATTACGTATACCCGTACTCGTATTTTCTGTAATATTTTTTAAACTCGTTATAATAATATTATGGTCTCCGACAGTTTGACTTTTGACTAAGGCGATGAGAAAGTAAGTACCTATATATAGGCACGTACGACTACAGTATTATAGTTTCTTGTCGCTTTCGTCATTATAAATAATATAATCGTTCGGATACTCGTCGGAACGGGATTATTATTATTATTATTATTATTATTTCGTAAACAGTTCGATAACGTTTTGAAATGATACTCGTATAATCTCGTGGGTCAGTTTATCCGCAGCCTATTAAATAATTGTGTACCTAAAATTTCAAGTAGGCGGACGTATAAACAACGAAAACCGAAATTACTGCTGCGCGAACGAACGTTCGACGTGTACGATTTGTATTTGTATTTTTCAATGCGTCGGTACACGTAGCGTATAGTCACACCACTACAATTCTTTTGTCCCGGCGATTGGTGTACCACTGTTTTAAAATAAAAGTCAAAAGGGGTAATGAGAGTAATCGGAGTGATAGGAGTAGACGGGGCAGTCGCTTCGTTCAAAATCTAAAATGATATTAAAATAATTCTTCGGAACAATAATATTCGTGTCCGAGAAAGTTTATTTTTAATTTCAAAAAAAAAAAAAACAAACCATAATGTAACATATCTACGGTACTTCGGAATCCCTGCGTGAAAATAATGGTTATGCAAACGGTGTGCACCGTGACTATAATATAGTACCGCGGTACTACGTCGGTACCGTTCGAAAACAATCGGTGGACCTTTACTGGCGAGATTTTATGAATATCGGTTAAAAATATCGGGTAAAAAAAAAAAAAAATACTTATGTCATCGCTAATATAGTACACTGTATCGCAGGACTTTATCATTTTGATAGTGCGGCGAGTTTCGACGTTTGGTATTTTGCACGCGACGAGTCGTTGCGAAAAACAATGGGGAAAAAAACGTCCGGGCTATAAACTTCTCTCGGAGATCCGTCACCAATCCCCCTCCCTCTTGAGTGTACGCCACTGACGACAATACGTAATAAAATATAACGCTCGCGTACATAATGATTTTCGCGGCCGCGTATAATATAATAACAATATAAATTATAATATCCGCGCCGCCGCGCTAATTGGGAAACCTTTTGCAATGTGTTTCTCCGGGGCGCGCGCGCGCGCGCGTGACCTTTGAGGTGTTTCCAAAGGGTTAATTTAATTTCGCCACCGTCGTCAGACGTTATCGGTTACGGAAAGGGTTGGCAGGCACTTATTATTAAAAAGGTCGGAGGGTGGTGCTAAGACGCGCGTATATACGTACGAGTTAGTGTGGTGCGTATACATATATATTTATATATACTCGCGCGCTCGCACCTCCGCGCCTGTAAAAGAGGTGACGGCGGTGCTATTTGCGAAACGCGCGTGTATTATTATTATACGAGGTAGGTGATATTTACGGGGGCGGCGGCGGCACCCGGGTGCCAGTTTAACTTTTACAAGCGTCAACACGCATAAAAGCGACCCCGTATACAGACGCGCGCACACAAGCGCGCGCGTAAACCGACGGGGCCGCCGCCGCCGCCGCAGCGGACGGAGGGTCGCAAAAACCCTTTATTATGTTGACAGCGGCGCGCACCTTTTGTGTTAAGCCGTCAGCGTGCACGCTAAATGTATATACAGAGTGCAATCCCTCCGCCGCATCCGCGCGCCGCCGTTCTTATCGCCCGCGTCCCCGGCGTTCGCGCTGCACTAATTACATCCACTCAAACGGCTTTTAATTTTAAAACGCCATAACAAGCTTCCGCCGCCGCCGTTTAATCCCGCTCTCGTTCACTCGCTCTACCACTCGCCCTCCCCCCCCCCACGTCACCGAACCCGCGCGCGCGGTATTTTACGCTTTTCGCGCGCGGCACTGTATTATTATTATCGCGGTTCGCAGTAGTTTCCCCACGCGAAAAACGCGCGCTACGGCCAGTGTTATATTGTTATCGCGCCGCGACGGATATCGCCGTGTCGCATTGTCGCGGCGCTTTTTCCGCGTTACCGCGGTCGGCGGCGCGGACGACGGGCCGCCGTCCGCACAGTCGCGGGACGGCCGCGCGAGACGATGTTCGACGGAGAACAATGCACCGGTGTCGGTGCACGGCGAGAAATGCGTCCGTTCGGGCGCGGGACCGGTGGCCGTGTGGCCCGCGGAGTGTAGCGCGTAAAGCACAGCGGCGACGAGGACGCGGGCGCGCGCGCACGGAAGAGCGGGCGAGAGTGACGCGCGGAGGAGCGACGGGACGACGGGCTATAATATAATACGATACAGCGGCGGCGGCGGCTGTGCGGGGCCAGCTGGCGCGCACGACGAAAGAGAGGCGCAAAAGAAAACCGGCGAAAGCTTCCGCGCGGGCGGTCGGGGCCGTCGCCGAGACTGCTGCGGTGGCGGTGACGTCACCCTCGGTGGGTTGGTTCCATCGGCTTGCGGCACACCCCATTGGCTCTCCGCAAAGCACACCACCGCCGCACCGCCGTCTGACCGACGACGACACCGACACCGACACCGCCAAACCGACGGCGCTGCGGACGGCCCGCGCGTTAACCTACATTCCGCATCTATAAACGTCCCGTTTCTCCGTCCGCCGCCGCCGCCTCGTACTCGGTATGCCCGTTCGCCCGCCGCCGTCGCCGCCGCCGCCGCCCGTTCTAGACACCCGCCGCCGCCGCCGCCGCCCGCCCGCAGCCGTAATACGTATGTATATAATAAATATAAATATACGACACGCCACCTCGCGCGCGACGACAACTTTTCGGGAAATAAGCCGCGCCGTTATTTAACCGTTGTTTCATAATACGCGTGTATATACAGTAATACGATGATCGCGTTATAGAGTGCGCGGCCGAGCAAATACCCCGTCCCCCTCCCCCCCGTTCACCCCNGTTCCCCCCCCCCCCCCTCCGCGTTTTAAAGGCGATTTATTAATATATTTCCGTAACTTTTCCGCTCTCGCGCTCCTCCTATTAATGAAATACGCTCGTAATCATAACAGCAGCAGTATAATGCTCGACGTGCATTTTTCCCGTATAAAGTTTACCGCGATGTCCCCGAACGCCGCGCCATTATTACGCGATAAATCTATTTTCTTTTATCGCAATACTTAAATCGGCCCTTGCCGAACTTTTTCGAACATTCCTCTCTTTCCCGTCGCCCTCGAATCTCAATTATACTGTATTAATCGGCCGTTACATTATGTCGGAATGAAAATCGATGTTACACGCCCTATCATTATTGATAAAAATCGCAGTAACCGTTCCCTGCATAGGAATTTGAACATTTTCATACGTACGTAGGTGGTGATAATTTGTAACGTTCGCCGTCTCTGTCAATCTAAAACAGGGACGGTAAAGCGAAAATGTGTTTTCGTACTCCTAAAATAAACTACTGTATACAGAGTGTTCCACTGTGTTCGATGGATTTTTCTAGAGCTGTTGATGTTCAAGTTTTTTTCAATTTGCTTTTTTATTAAAATTCGAATGTACCATGACCAATCAATAGGTTTTTAGTTATATCTGTTTTAATTTCTTGCATTTTTATTTTATAACACAATGAATATATATATATATATTTTTTTTTTTGATAATTATGCCTTAAAATAAAAATTGAAAATTCCTCTTTGTCCATGGTATCCCTATTAATTAAAAGCAGATTAATAAAAAAAATTGTATATTAACAGCTCTAGAAAAAACCGTCGAAAACGGTGGCATAAATTCAGGATCAAATAGATCTAAAACTATTCATTTTTACAAATGCGTGTTGTTTTTCACGGAAAACATTTTCCTTAATTACTTACTTTTTTAATCTTTGTAAGAATATTTCGATTTTTTCACTGCCACACATATTAATATATATAGATGCGGAATTTTCGCCTAATGATTTATTTAAACATTATTTTTAGAAATTCCTACTCTCACTCTACTCGAAAAAACTTTTTTGTTGAGTGTAATTCTTCCGATTTTTTTCATGCAGTAGCAACTTCAAAATTTGCAGAATTTCGGTAGTCATTTTTGAAGAAATACCTTTTAAAATGTACAACAGTTCTCCTTCCACTTATCTTTTTTTTTTCTTTGATTTTTGATTAAGATTCTCGAAAAACATAATTTGTATTTAATCACAATCGTACCTTAAAAGATGATACATTTTTGTACAGTAGTATTATGTTATTATTTTTTAAATAAAAACGATGGATTCCCTACAGTTTAAAATAAAAATTTAAAAAAAAAACTAACGATGAATGACGAGACATCGGTTTTATTTTTGTTGATTTCTGAGTTACGCCTTGGCGACAAGGGAAAACACGACTAATATTTTATCTTTACCAGTTTTCCGCTCAGAATTGTTTTTTTTTTGTTATCTTATGTCCTTTATCTTTCCTAAACCCATGGTTTGTAATACATGGCTTTTTTATATTTAATTTGTTCGGTTTTTTGTTAATTGTTATTTTTTATTTTTTTATCAATAATTGCGAAGTAACTTTGCGGTAAAATCAAGAGGTAAGTACTTTCGAACTATATAATCAAATGTTCAATTTGTGAAATGAAAAAGTTTTCTAGTGTTATAAACGGGGAGCGAAAAAAAAAATTAATAATTCTTGTATGTTAATTAAAACTTTTTCCATATTATTTTTTCTTTTGTTTCTTTTTTTTTAAAGTATTCCAAAAATCAGAGTTTAAAAAAAATTGTATGAAATCAATAACTGTACCTATATACAAATAATATATTTATTAATTATTATTGTTATAACTTATAACCATGGTCATGGTTTTTATTGCGTATAGGTACACGACTTTTTAAAGTTGTAATAAAACTATTTGCATTTTATATTACAATATACAACTTTTGTTGACTGACGATAATTAATGAAAATATCATAATAACATTTTACATTTTTGAAACATTTTAAACGTGTATTCGCCGAGATACACTCACTTATCCCCGAGCGATAAGAAATAGAAATTTCGTCCAAACTCCAAACCTGATACTATTCTAAATAATTAAATGACGTTTTAAGTGCAAACCTAAAACCTTCGATGGTTGAAAACCCGCGCCTGGGTAAATAACGGCAATGGGAAAAGGCAAAAACATCGTCTGGTAGGTTACATCCGGAAGGTGAAAATTCGATAATTTTGTCTTCGTATTTCAAATCGAATTCAAATTATAATCGGTAAATTTTTTTTTTTTTTATATGGCGGATATGATATTTGTTACGATCGCGGTCACGATAATTTTTCCATAGTATTTGAGGTTTAGCAGATGTGTTGTTAATTTAATGTTTTATGATTTTTTCAGTCTAAATAATCGCCCAAGTGTGAGTATTTTCAAAATCAGTGTACGTAGTGCATTACCGTAATAGTCGATTGCGATTTGAAAACTACAAAAAATTTTCTCTTTCCGCGTCCCCTCACATTACACTCGAAATCACTCCCTCTTCTCCGTTCCAACTCACCTCACGTCTTATGGCCACAATCAACCTCTGCACAGGACGTTGCGCCGTCTCGACCATGTCTAGTCTGTACCTCTTCTTATCGTTGTATTTTAACTGTATGCTGATTATTGTTCTCTTACCACTGCGCTCGGGGCGTTTACACGTTTAAATAAATTAATAAAAATTGACTTATGCCCTTTTTCCACGAAACCGAATGTTACATTGCTTAAACCGTTATTCGTTCAACTTTATTATTTTTTTCGTCGACCACGTTTACGAAAAAAAAACACCAAAAAAAAAAAAACAAATATCAACTCGCGAAAATCTTTTCTACAGCGATTCCGTCGTACCGGGCGGGATATCGTTATTGAAATTATTGCAAATTTATTATAAACGCGCGGTGTACAGTCGTGTGATAATTTCGGTTGGCGGCGACTACGACCACGAGCCACGGCGACGGGGATAATATTATTATACATATTTACATAATAATAATATTATTATTATTTTACATATTTACATAATAATATTATTATTATAAATTGCGGGCGTTGCCGTTACGCGGCTTATCGAGCGTGAGTGTGAAACGGCCGGCCACCCGGCGTACGGACAAGGCGCACACGATTACACCGGCCGCTCTCGCTTTACTCGGTCTCCACTTGCGCACCGCTAGCCCATCCCCTCCCACACACACACACACACACACACACACATACACGCACACGCACACACTCGCAGCACATACTGGCCGGGAGATTGACAGGAAACATCGCCGCGAACGTGCGCGATATTATAACAAAAACGATATTTTCCGCGGAAGACGGTCCGGGGGGTACGTACGGATCGCTGGGCTCTCGGGGCTCCCAGAAACCGGGGCGGAATTACACGCGGTATACAGTGTGATTCTCTTGTCGTTGAACGCTCATTATACGGCAAAGTGTTGCATGTTTTCAAAAGAAATCCGTTTGATAAGGTTTCAAAAACGAGCTTTTCTAAAATGCTATAACATTCTCATTATTTTTCGCCGCCGTTATTTTCGGAGGTGAAACGACTGCCGGCTTTTGGTGTCGAACGGTAAGCTACGTTGTAAGTTAAATATTAAATTGATAGAGTGTTAATTTAAATGAATTTCGGTGTTTTCCGTCGGCTCATTCACGAGAAATTCCAATTTTAAGTTTGAATGGAATTAAAATAGCGGAGTATCGTATTTTGTGTGGCGGCACGGCTCGCGGAGTTCGATCAGTACTCCACTACTATCCCGCTGCCTAAACTTGATATCTCGTAAATGGGTAGGCGGAAATCAAAAATTTCAACGAGGAAATTTATTGAAAATAGTACTCGATCGATTTATGGAACTTTTAATGTAGGTTACCGTTTTAGAACCGCGAGCCGTTTGTCCGCCGAAAATAAGCCATATGGACGGCGAAAAACACGGCAATTTAAATCCACTCGTCTCTCGTGTTGTCCAAAACGTTTCGACACTTTGAGAATTAACGAACGTTTGAGGATAAAAGAACCGCCCTGTACAATGCGTATAAACGCACCGTGCGCGTAGCCGCCGGACGGCAAAACAAAGGAATTACACATTGTTATATTAAACACGGAGGCGGACGAGGGGCGGCGAACAGTGACGGGTTGACGGACGGCCGTAACGCGAGCCGCTGCGCCGCGTGCTCGCCGGACAGCGACTAATGAGACGCGCCGGGGCTACGTTTCGGCTCTTTAAAATAACTTTACCCTTTCGCGTGCGCGTTAGGCAGGACGGCATAGGTACCGGACATTCCGGCCGGGCCTTTTCCGCCCGTTTCCCGCGTCAGCCGACACGGGCGGCCGACATTTCAGCCGCGGGTCGCCACGCGCGACTTTTAATTAAACGGCCGCGACGGCGACTTACGGTGTCCGAGTAGTTCAAACGCATTCCCGGTACGTTTCACAACCCGCCCTGACCTCTAGATGCGGGGCCGCGATGTTATAGGAACGCGTTGAACGCCGCGTTTTCGCCGGACGTGCTGATGTGCCAACTCGAACAGTACGGAACGGTATGACAGCTTCGATTACAGTTTACGCCGACAGAGCGGTCGACCGCGCAATGCACGCGAATCGGTTCGCCCGCCGTCTACCAAGACGATTGTGGACAACGCGCGGATAACGCAGTGGCTCCCGCGGACTACCGGTGGCGCGTAGACTCGCCTCGTCCGGTCATCCAAAGAAGCGCATCTCAGGCGCGGGTCAGTCCGCTGTACTGTCGATATTTTACTGTGCGCGTGTAAACTATGTAAAACTCGCGCCGAAATAAGCGGGGCCGGGCGATTTAATGATTTTTTGCAACTCGGGCGAGTAAAGTTGAATTTGAATTTAAAGCCAATTCAACCGAAAGCCGAAATCGACTTTTGAACTCGAGTTCAGTCAAAACGGAATGTACGTATTTTTCCGGCGCTGATAATGGCGTAACAATCTACCCGCGACCCACGACCGGCGACAACAGCAAAAATAACAAACATTACCGTGACGAAGTGTTCGCCAATATATTTGATAGCGATAACGGCAACACGAGCGTGCAAATAAAAATCGAAACCGACCTACGCAATCACGGCATTCGCGAACGTACGTCATAAACGCACGTACGCGCATCACGCGTTTAAACGCGTTTCTTGTTTTCCGGAATGTTTTATATTACAGCGGGATTTCATTATCGAAAGAGATCGCGTACAATGCAACGCAATTATCAAAGGGGAAAGGCTATGCTGCGAGTGGCACGACACGTAGGGACGCGCGATCTTCACTCGTCATCCGAACGGCACTCGTCGCACTCTGATTCGATCGTATTTCGCGTCGCCGGCACCGGCGGCGTAGGTGAATCGTATTAAATTATTATTATCCGAGCGCGATTCCGAAACGGTTTTTGCACGCCCGCCCGGCAACAAAACCCACGTGCGCCGCACGCGAGAGTATCGACTTACACCGCGTTTACGCTCGGCGCGCGCGCGGTGTGTTTCACCTGCTCGTGTACGCGCGCCGACACGTATCCCGCGTACAGATACACGTATATTATTATTATTTTGTCTTCGCGCGAGAGATGGAAATTAGATTTGTAGCCCGACTAAACGGTTGCCGGCTGCAGCAGGGGTCGCAGTGCTCGGTTCAGACTCTCTCCCCCTCGGTATAATACGCAGGTACTTACGACTTACATATTATATTATATACGTACGTCTACCGCGTATGCGTATATTATTTTACGGATATGTATGTATATATATGTTTGCGTGTACGAGTGTACGTATACGACAGAATGACGACGGTTTTCGGTTCTCTTTTCGACGGGAGCGCGTGACAATATTTGCACTTGCCGTAGTCGTGTGCAGCCGACGAGATTCGTTGGGGGTTCGGCCGTTTATTTCGCGAAACGGTACGCGCTAACGTGTAATATTCTTATTATTTTTTTTTTCTTTCACCCCGTCAACATCTTCGTATAATATTTTATATACAGAACGCATAATATAGAACACGGTAAAAAGTAAATAAGAAAAAGACCCCGCGTGTACACCGAAATCCGTTCATAATATTTATAACGTATTGCGTATACACGCGTTAGCGAAACCCATCGAGCGAACTCGTTTGCGACAAAGTTCGAGACCGTGTCGACGCACGTGTGCCGCAACGAAGAGCCCAATGGAAAAAATAAAACGTTTTCTGTTTTGTTTTTAGTTACGATTTTTTTTTTTTAGATTTTTTTTATCCGACGAGATTCCGCTCCCTTCATTTTCAGTATAATATTACGCAAGCGAATTTCCAGTACGCAGCAAATTTATTACGTAGTTCGTTTTTATCGTCCGCCCCACGTTTAGCGCATTTCGCCTGGACAAATCGTTTTACGAGATAATTTTAAGGTAAAATTATAATCTATACGTTCACGCGACCAACACACATTACTACTATCATGTGTGTCTCGCGATTATTGTGTTACTCGCAGCGGTATCTGGCGGAGCCCCCGGACCCTATGTTACAGCTGTCTATTTTCCCGTTAGATTTCGCCTACTCGTTTCTAGAAAATCTACTCCCCCTCCCACTGGAAACCGAAACGCATTAGGTTTTTCGACGACGGCGGGCTTAACAATAGGCCGATTACATACTTGATAATAACGAAACAGACAAATTACTATCGTTACACATTTAACAAATTCGTCAATTTACCATATTATAATATCTATTTATTACCAAATTTCTTTGTCGAGTCGATTATATGCGTATACGATCATCAAATTTTAATAAAAATTGATATTCATGCTTGTACATAAAATGCAATGTAACTATAGCAACGAATTGAAAAATAAATATACAATTTGATACGCCAGATACATTAGCAATTGACTTCGTAACATATAACAACGGATTTATAAATAAACCGATAAAAACTACTGCAACCTTTTTTTCTTCGCCCGAAACTGAAATAGACCACGAGTTAAATCTTCTGACTCAATCCCAATTCGGCTAGAGCTGAGAGTCTACAATGGCCAACAATAACTATAAAATGAATATCGTTAGACGTGCATTTAATCTCATTAGAAGTAAAAACCGATTGGTTTTGTCATCGCGTTCATTTTTTGTATTATATTATAAAGTGCAGAGTGTACCATACTAGTAGAAATTTATTTTGTACTATACGTTATTTTTAAATATTTCGATCAAATTCCAATATTCGTCTAAAATTAATATCGATTATGGTTTATATTATACATAACACTGTTGACTTTTTTTTCATATATAGTGCTGGCCGCCGGGTATGTTACCTAGCACTGCATAAACTCCAACAATATTAAAACATTCGTCTAACAAGTACGTTCAGGATTTTTTTAGACAAATTTTTTAATTTCCATTATTCGGTATATATTTGGTAGTGCCAGATTCACGTACCCCATTCGATTGCATTTCCTAGTGTAGAAACCATTTCCACAATCCTCCAGTTTGTTGTACAGAGGTATCAGCTGACTTCAAAATAAATAATATACCTGCGCTATGTATTTCGATAACATAACGTGTCGAAATAATATAGATTAGTGCTATTGGTTCGCTCCGAGTCTTAATTAACGAAATAAATTATTACAACATGCTTAAAATAGATACGAGTCGCTAACATTTTTTTTGCAACCAACGATGTAGTTATGTGCCAAACATGTTATGGCGAAAACTATAAAATATTACCAGCTACAGACATAATATTATATTCTTAATTTTACAACTGTTTTTGTTTTTTATTGCAATAAACCATTTAAACCTAATTATTTATATTTTACGATGTAAATTGTAAAATGATTCATTACACTGTATTTCGAAAGCCTTATTTTAAACTACTATGATAATTTTGGGAAACTCGCTCTTTTTACTACCATAATAAATTCACTTTCTATTTAAGCAAATGACTCCATTATACGTGGAAAATATTACCGCTCCAATATTTATAAGCTGATAAAAATAAACACTGCAATATTGATAAAGTTTTCTCTACACAGCAATACTTGAAACATAAGGAGTAATAACACTAAAATATTTTCACATAAACTGTAACCAAACTTTGTGTTTATTAAACGTTCTTTTGATAAATAGATTTATTAACGGTGCTGAATGTTTTATTAGAGGCAAGTTGTTTTTAATTTTATTAGAGTATTGTTCGAAATCCCGCGTTGAATATTATTTTATGTTGCAGCAGTGAAGCAGTCATTGGGATTTCAAAAGTATTTAAATTTTCAATAAAACAGAAATTATTATTATACATTTATTTTCAGTGGCTAATTTTAATTTTATATTCTCCATAAAAAAAAAAATAGGATATTTTTATGTTTTACGTTTTTGTCAACACAATTATTGAACATTCTTACGATTTTTTTCCCACAAAGTTATTCCAATATTCCAACTATAATCACTTCCCTGAATGTGTCCATTTCGCTGGTTTTTGAACTTTTTGTCAGAGGGTGAGAGAAAAAGCGCCAATATATTTAGATGTATCGAATTTCTAAAAGAACAATTGAAATTTTTTAACGATTTTTTTTTTTACAAAGTGATTCCAAATACTTCCTCGAATATCTCATTATTTGCGATTGTAGCGCTAAAGAAAATTCAAAATTCTGTTTAACATTTGAGAAGCTCCGATATTATCAGACGCTTCAGTAGTTTTACCGTAAACCGTTTTTATCTTTGAATACTAGTAATTTTTGTTGTACGCGAGAAATATAAGCGATTGATAATTGCTTATCCTCATCGATTATAGCAAAATTACTATTCTTGACACTAGTTTGTAAATGAACGGGAAATGTGTTAATGCAGTTAGTTAAATTAAACATAGTAGGTATAACAGTTTTGTTAAAAACTGTTCACAGACGAACCTGGTCAATACAGTTAGTTAAAGTATATTAAAAATATGAAGCGACTCCGAAAAATTTACATTTTATGTGCGCCAACAGAAAGACTCCATTTTTCCGAAACAAATAACTTTTCATCAATGGCGTAACTAGAACTGCTAATGCTTCTAATCCGACATAGTCCAGCCGGTCCTTAGTTTTATAAATTCGGGGGAAAGGAGTATGAGGGACATGCACAAATCACAAAATTTATCTCTTGATCTACCCCTTGTATACTATCATTTTTTACTAAACATTTTTTTTTTGTTTTGTTAAGAAGGTATGTTAAACATTTAATTTATATTTAAAGTAATCTCTGGCTAGTTTTATCAACCTTTTTTCTTTTTGCTTTTGCTTCAGCAAATTTATCAAATATATCTCCGAAGTTAACCTCACATTCTGTTTCTTGTTCGAATGAAAACAATGGGGGTCGCTTAAACATTTATGCATCATAGTTATTCTTAAGTATTCTTTAATATTGGTTAAGTTAGAAAAAGACCGTTCTACGATAGTAGATATAACAGTAATTGTCAAAAATAATAAAAAAACAGTACATCCTTCTGAGAGATTTATTGTTAAAGAGTGAGATTTACTATTAAAAACTGAGCGAGATGTATTGAAATGAGAATACTTATTTATGTTTTAAGAGTTAATTTTGCAGCTCAAATTTCACTTGTAAATATTTTTCAAAATTTATTCATTGTGTTTGTTTACCAAAATTGTATTTATTAGTTATAAATCTGTTGATAATGTAAAACAAGTTGATTCTAATCGTGTAAAATTTAAAAGACTTAAAATTATGGTTAGCTACATTTCACTGCCTCAGAGTCACGGCCCGTGGCTTACTGCCCGTTATACGCCGCCCTATCGATACGTCACTGCTTTTCATTATTATAAATTATTAGATTCTTAGCGCAGTGAATACACAATGTTTTTCTAAAATGTGTACTTTTTTGTTTCCCTATAGTTTTTTAAATAGTTGGAGAAAACGTACTGTAGTAATGATTTCATTATTTTCTAATTTGTTTTTTGTCTTAATGTAGTCAATAAAAATAAAAATAGAAGAGATGACTAAAAATAATTACATGAACTTTTTAACATGGTAAAATTTTCAAACGATTCTGGCGATTTTCGAGTTAATAATAGACATTTCAAATATTCTAGATTTTTAGTGGAGATTTTTTTTTTGCATGTATTAAATAATTTTAGCCAAACAGAAATGCTTACAATTTTTACATGAGGTTCATCATACGTTTTACTTTATGATGAAAATAATTAAGGTTATAATGTTTCAATTTATATGAGTTCAAATCTTGATGAAAATAGTAAAAATCACAGCATTTCAAAAAATGTTTAACCGAATATCGCTCAGAATCATATTTCATTTATATTGTATATTTGTATCATTACAGATATAAATCAAATAGGTCTATGAATCCTAACTTCCCAAGGTACTACCTATTATGACTGTGGAATATCTATCAAAAGTATCAGTTTTTGATTTTCTATTTAGGTGTATTATGAACTTAAACGAGTATAATGTTAGTTACCTGATAGTTTCAACGGAAGGTCTGCGATTCTGTTGGGATCCAGCGGTGTGCCGAATGGGAATGGTCTGGGTCCGAAATGGAACGGGTGGAATCCTTGGTTTCCTGCAAACGAATTAAATAATAGGCCTAATACCCGATTTAATTTGATAATAATTTATCAGTCATTTTTGCGCGCGTGAATTTACTCACTGGTTTTCGACCTGGGTTCCCTGGGACCGTCCACCGTGACTTTTATAGCTTTTGCGTAGGTGGCCACTTGCGGCGGACACGAATTCAACATTATCGTCAACGTAAAACTTTTGCCTATAGGACAAAAAAAATTAAAAAATTATTGTTTTTCTAACGAACATTAACGGCAAAAATAATATTGTATGATCACTAAATTATAATAATATTTTATACTCACGGTGTTTTTACAAATTTGAGTAATATTTTATTACACTGCACGACTTAATAGTTACTACAATTGATATACATATTCGGCACGGACCCTACATTCGGAAGATTTAATATAAAAATTAATCAACATAATGAAATACAGATTCCAAAATTAACCTGTACAATATAAAAAACAAATTTTTGCTCATTTATGTACTTTTTGTTTTTTTATGATCGCCCGTTAAACTTTAAAGTTTTGATTGTTGGAGATTAAAGAAAAATAATTATATATATATATATACAGCATGTCCCACGAAAATATTCTCACTGTAATATTTTAATATTTCTGTAAATAATAAAAATAATCAAAGTCTGTTTTTTTTTTTTTAAGTATTAAAACAGGGAAAAAGACTAAAAATATTTATAATTCAATGATTTTTTTATATTTTGATAAAAAAACTTAAAAAATTTAACTTTTTGATTTATTTTTTTGAAAAATTTAAATATAGCAATTTTATACAGTTTATTTTTCGAAAAATATTGTGTAATACATTTTCTTTAATAATAATAATAATTAATTAGTGAATGTTATTATAGTCAACTGCTGTAAAATTATATAGATACATACTTTTTAAACTAAAAAAATATTAAAAATAACGAATTTAGTGAAAATAAAAAGTTGAAAAATCAAAATGTTCAAAAAATAAACTCTTTAAAATGGATATTATCTTTTTATTGTCGTTTTTTCATATTTTGTATCAAAATATTAAAAAACAATTAAAGTTGAAATATTTTTAGTCCTTATCTCTGTAATTTATGTGTGAAAAAACAGTATTTGATTATCTTTATTGTCTCCGAAAGTATTACAATGGGTACATGGGACATACTGTGTATTGGTATATGAATGAATAACCGCGGTATATTGATCTGAGTTATATTTCATTTTTCGGTGCATAGAACAATATTTAAAACGAATCGTAAAACTTAAATTAAAATCAAATAAAATTAAACGTTATGCAATAGTGAAAAGGACTCGAAAATTAAGCGTCTATTAATTTGCGTATAACACTTGAAGAATTATAAAGACGATCGTGCGCAACAGAGCTTCGTCACTAGAGTCAATATTCACCCCGCGTATTTTGTATTATAGAAATATTATTTGTAAAACAAAAAAAAAAAAATCACTAAATACTGTAAAAGTACAACAATATAGTTATATTACTTCTCAAAAAAAAAAAAAAAATGAAATTTAAGTATACCAATGATAAGGGCTTGAGTTGAAAATAGTTGAAACCCCCGAAAATCACACCGTTGATACTATAACACTATACAATGATTAAATAAAAACGTTAAATATTCAAATTGGACATTTTATTAATTTGCAACTGAAAAATAAATTAGGTGCAATTGAATAAAATAAATTTCATCAAACATTTAAACTTTAAATGATTATAAAACATTAAGGATTTATGTTCACTATTTTTATAACACCAAGTACAATCTATGACGAATTTTGTAACAAATTTCTGATCACTCTGGAGAATTCAAAAATTGTATCAATCCACACAAAACTAAAAATATTCAGTATTTTCAAACAGCTAAAACAGCTTAAAATAAAATAACTAAAATCATTTAAACAACTTTAAAAATATTTTTGATTTTTTTTACCAAGTTTTAAGAGTACTTATTTTTATAAGTATTAAGAGGAAATTTTATATAACTAGGAATTCTTTTTCACCGAATTATAAAAAAAAAATAAAATATACTTTTAAAAGAAATCGTTATTCGGTAAATGTTTCCATTTTTTCAAAATTATGGTTTTTCCTATTGAGTATTAGGCAGAGGAAAAAAAATAGGACGGACATACCCCGCACGTGGGCCTATCCATAATGTATATCTGTAAGCAATGATAAACCATAGCTAACGAAAAAACGATTCTGAGTCGAGTTCAGTTGCATAATGTTGCTTTGTCAATAATACAATATTTAGTATTATGCCATAATATGGTAAAATGATTAAAACAATGTGCGTTTTTATGACAACAACGATTGTTTAAAAAAATATTAAAATAATTAAAACTTAATGATAACAAAAAATAAATAAAAATGGCAACCTTATTATTAATCTTCCAATTTTTTTTAACCTAAAGACCGAGGTTTTCCTCATTATCTCGAATTTTAATGAGAATTTCAAAAAATTACCTTTCTAAAGTACCGCCAAGAGAAAATTTCTTTTAAGAGAAGCTGCTATACTTGATAATCGGATGCTTTCTGGTAGAAAAACTATTCACACAAAAAAAAGAATAAACATCAACCAACACATTCCTCGTTCCACTCAGAATCTAAATAGGATTAATCTAATGGACTAATTAAATAATTTTTTCGGCATTGCTAATGCTAATTTTTTGTTATTTTTACCTTTATTTCCGTATGGCTTTGTCCATATCAATATATTGAACTGAAAAAAGGTAGGAGTATGTAGTCCTAGACTAAAAGTGTTCTAGTGTATCATATATTTGTTCATTTGCGTTACTATAGATACTTAAACAACACTAAGATTAAATTAAATAACATCTGCTAAAACAACACTAAAATTATGAGGACATAATGGTACTGTAGTGTTTTTACTGTACCAAAAAATATAAAGATTTATCACGTTTTACGTGTCTCCACTTTTCACTTACCCACCCAATTTTTTTTCATTAATGTTACCAAGGTAGCCTATCCTAATTCAAGCCAATAATATACCCGCAAACAATTAAATAGAATCTTTATTTTAAGTTGTTATAGTTCTGACATTTTTATGTTTGTTAATTTTTTATTTTACATTTTTTTTTCATCTCATTCACGTTACTATTATAGTAATCCATAATTCAACAAAACCCATTAATCCCCTATTTCATCTCCTTCAAATTTTATTTTCGCGATAAAAAGTAACTTATATTTTTCTCCGAGGTCATATATATCTCTAAACCAAAATTCATCAAAATCCGTTCAGTAGTTTTTTGTGTGAAGTAGTAACAAACATCTATACACCCTCACAAACTTTCAGATTTATAATATTTTTTTATATATTTTATAAAGCAGTATAAACATTTTAAATTCGTCATAAGAGAATTGTAGTTTTTAACAAGGGAGGTGCCTAATTGCATCAATAATCCTTTAAAAAATATTTTAAATGTGAATTTATTGGGTGAGGGAATGTATCTTTTATTAAAATTTAAAAAGACATTTTTATTAATATCATCAATGAACACCTATCTGGTATTCAAAAATAATAATAATTTGGTTATATTTTAGTTGTACTGTTTACTGATTTAAGAATTTTTTATGAGAATGTATTTATTTTACCGTGATGTCTGAAGTTTATTATTTTTTTTTTTTTTATATTTTTGAGCAACTTTGCTACCAAAAACGTTTTTCTAAAAACAGCAGTGTTTTTGAAAAAAAAAAAATGTTGTCTTGTTGGTATATAAAAATTATTTATTTTTTTTTTAAAATTATCCTTGTATTTTTCTTAATAATTGAAAAAAATGAAAAACGCTGTAACATGGAAAAGTTAAAAGAAATAACAGTTTCATTTTTTTGATTGTGTTTTTATTTTATAATTCGATCACAAATAATGTCAACTTTACACCCCTTAAGTTAGGTTAGTCATAGTCTTTTTATATTGACCTTATCAAGACGTGGTACAATTGTCGATACCTTTGACATTTGCTAGTTTTTTTTAGTTTTTATTTGGTTTTGTGTGGATACAATTATTTTGACCGATCAGAAATTCTTGAACATTTCACGTGAAGTTTATTATAGGTTATCGTTTTTTTTTTTTTTAAGCGGCGCTAGAATATATTACTCTGGCCAACACCGTTCCTCTAAAATTATTATTATTATTATTTGTATAGTTCATAGTGAACTCTATATAAATTAGACTTTATCGAGGCGAAACGTGGGATTTATATACCCGCGTATATTTTGTAAAGCGGAAGTTATTTCAGATGTAAAATTTTGTGCTGAATTCGATGATACTAGTATTAGTAAATTATAAACCATCAGAGCAGAATAAATCGTTTTTGGATTGAAACAATATACTCAATAACCGAATTTTGATAAAACGTCGACATTTCCCGGGAACTCGCGCGAAAGTACGAAATTTTTAACTACGCGTCTTATTAGAGAAACGACGGAAACACGAAACAAATTCGTTGTATTCTGTCGAAACCGTAATGTTCACGGCATCACGTACTTGCGGCGTATTAATTTACGAGTGAACCGCGACAAATAAACGAGCCGAGACGCGTACCGAAAACACCGTTTTCGAATAATAATATTATTAAGTTTTCGGCGTAAAACGTAAAGTAATATAAGTTTCGGGGCGCGAACAATATAAACCGCAATTTTAACTTTTGCAGACGCGGAAAATTAACCGACGAGGATCAATTGGGCGGGCATAACACCGCAGCTACCGCGACCGCCACCGCCGCAGCGACCACGACTTCGGTCTCGTTACATTGTAGTCGTCTATACTGACACTCCGAAGTTGATTAAAACGCAAAGGGTTAAGTTTTAAAAGCAATAGCGGCGATTAATGCCGGTACATTGTATAATAATATACGCTTAAACACATTATTACCGACACGTTCGTTATTATAACGCCTCAGTTTCAATAAACGTCTCGTTTCTATAGAAAACCCGATTGAAAAGGCCAATTAATAAATACGCGAAAACGTAGTCCGTATACGCGCTAATGAAAACCGTGCACTCGCGTGTACTTAATACACATGCATTTACTATCCACGTCACGAATTTCTGGATAGTTTTTCGAACGATTCTACATACATTAAATCTATTTAGTATTGATGAAATTTAAATTTGTATAATACAGTTACCGATCCATTCGTCGTTGCCCTTGACAATTCAATTCCCTAATTTTTAAAAACAATCCCTGCAAAAACCGACATCAATAAAAGGAAATTCAATTTAATGTGTTTCTTCGTTTTCAATGTTCGTATTATAATATCTAAAATCTTGTTTCTGTATGTATATTTCCAGACTTTTGAGTGTGATATACTCCGCTGTGATTCACACACACACACCTACCAAACATTGACGTTTTTTATTATCTAATGACAAATGTATATGTCTGTGTTAATCAATCACGTCAAAATGGTTTTCAATAAATTCAATGGACAGTTATAACCCTGAACCTATTCCCGGTCAAAAGTGTATCCTATAGAGCTATATCTTAGATAGAGGTTATGATTTTTTTCTAGAACTCAATCTTTACTCTTTAGTGATCGACTTGTTTGAAAATAAAAACTGTGTTAGGTTAGGTTAGGTTGCCACCTGTGAGACATAGTAGCGGACATTCGAGGAAAAAAATGTATTAAAATCCTAACTACTAACATTTGTGAATAATTGCTGTACCAAAATCATAGACGAGAAAGCAGACGCGCCATTCCGTTAGAGGGGGCGAGTGAAGGAGTGATTACGGCGGGCATTTAATTTGGCGTGGACGGGACGCGGCGGGAAAAACCCGATACAGTTAGATTAGGTTAGGTTAGGTTTTCCGAATTCGTGGTTTGATTTTAGGCCACAGTGCACGTATACGGTCGTTTCGGCGGACGGTAATACCATCGGTTTTTTTATTATTATTTTTTTATCGGATCCCGTATTATTACTGTTTCAGTATACCGCAACGACGTCTTATTGCCGCGAATCCGATCTGTGAAAGGGGGACGGGGAGGATAGGGGTCATTGTACAAGCAATATAAACCCATTTTCGGACAATAAACCGGGGGTGCGGATTTAAAACGCGTGTTTTTGACACTAACCGTCGTCGTCGCACTGCGCGTTATTATACATGTATATTATATTATATACTGCAGTCGCCGTTGAGCTCTTTTTTTATTTTCCCTCCGGTAAACGCGCGAGGATTTCGCGAGGGATGTTCGTCGCAGCTTTTTAAAATATACGTTTAAATGTGTATATAGGTAGGTTAGGTTAAAAAAAAAGAAAAAAAAAAAAGGGATAATGTCGAATGCCCCGAAAACAGAAGGGAGCGAGAGACTGCACGCGCACGGGTGGGGTGTGTACAGTCGCCGCCGCCGTTACAATTTACTCCGCGTCGGCAGGCCAATTTGTCATCATTGCCTTGTAAAGGGAATACGGTTTCTTTGGGCGACCGGCGAGGGAGGGGGGGGGGAGGGAAAAGAAGAAATCCCGCGGAGACTTGGGGGAGAGAAAACGCGCGCGCCTCCGTTCCGCCGCGTTTCCTCTCGCGTGATACCCGCGTGCAGCGCGTATGTCCTCGCCGTCCGTTATTAATAAAACTCCGAAACGTTTAAGTCGTCCCGCGACGTCGCAGTATTTATTGCCGTTTGATTTTGCGATATTATTATTTCGCGCGGCACCGCGTTAATGCGCGACATATTATCCGTAACCCGTGATATTTATTACGTCGCGGCAGTGGCGCCTCCAATGTGGTACATTTCATCAATCACGCGACTCAGGACAAAACGAGTGGGTTGGCTGTGGGTGCGTGGGTGTTCAGAAACGTGTAAAAGAAAATTTCAAGTTTTTAGAAAATAAAACGCATCAAAAGAATTATAGACCGCGGACATTTTATACATTTCACAAATTCGATTGGAATTTGTTAAATTTCAATACATTTTTGGTGGGCTGGAGGTATTTTGGGTTCAGTTGGATGGGTGGGTTGGTGGGTAGAAATCAAATCGGTTATTCAAGGTAAAACTACTTCGAGCCGCTACTGCGTCGCGGAATCGTAAGCGAATAATTACGCCGTCCGGGCGCGAATCCGACCCGATCGTTTTGCGTCAACAGTCGCGTTTCTCGGCGGTGCATTTTCGAACGATCTTATCTCGCCCGTGTCATTTGCTTCGGTATTGCGGCCAGTCGATTTTATATCAAACCCAAAACCAAGGACATTATCCGAGTTCGGACGTGGGCTTTTCCACGATATTTCAATATCCGCGCAAATTATGCAGGTACAATTTAAAAATTGAAATACCGTAAGAACCAACGCATAAACTCGGATGATGTTTTCAACTTTAAGTTTGATTACGGGTCGATTCGCTCTATTACTCGAGTGCCATAAGTACGAGTATGGTTCCGCCGAACGCAAATTCACGCGTGGGCCGGAAAGAGAAAACGAAAATTGGCGCCAAAACCCTCTTAAAAATTACGTTTTGTTATCTTCGGTTACCCGGGTTGGCGATATTGTGACCTAATAGTAAACAACGCAGCACACTGTTTCGCCGGAACGCGCCTGTTTTTACGAGGGAAAAAAATCATTAGAAAATGTACGGCTCCGTAATATTAAGATGACCGATTGCGTAGCACACGGATGCACGCGTGCACTAGAATGGCCTAAACATAACGCCGCCCCTACACACCCGTCGAGTAGCGACAAAACATTAAAAACACAATGAATAATCACTTTCGATTAACCAACGGCGTGCTCAGGCAAGAGGGGAGTTATATCCTCGTATCGGTTTAGTCATTTAATCTTCATATTTCGGCCGAGTTACGAGGACAAGTTAATGATTTATCGACTGAAAATTGGTCGGACTCTTCGGTATTGAGCGTGGCAAGAAAACTCGACGGCCTATTATAATGTAACGTGACTGTTAATATTACTGCATTCCCTTCAATTGAAAATTTCCGAGCTCGCCACTGCGGTTAGTGTTCAATTATCGTTTTATACGCAATAATATTATTACGTTTGAAATAATATTCTACAGGTGCTTTCACTTAAACCAGCTAGTTAAATATGCTAAAACCGCGAGTCGCGGTGCGTAATATAATACAACGACCGCACGGATGCACGTCAAATTTGAACGAGAGACTTTACCGCGATACCGACTCTTAACCGAATAATCTAACCTCAAACCGCAAGTTTTAGAAATGTTTATTTATTACTATTATCGTTATTATTATTATTATTTTTTTTTTAATATAAATTTAAAAAGTATTCGAACGAATTATCGGATGTTTTTGTCGGATTCGTATGGACGGCATTAAATACGATCGACGATAATATCGTTAAACCAGATTACCGGAACAATAGAACGAAACTCACCGCGGCCGGAACGTCCGACGAACCGCAAGTCGTTGAACTTGGCCACCTGGTTCTTCATCAGGGCTGTGCAGTTTCGGAGCTCGGCGCAAAAGTTCTCGTCGTTGCCGGCGCGTATGGTGACCGGCGTGCCGTCCGGCACCTCACCCAGCGCGACCACCTTGAACGCTACCGGCAGCGTCTTGTTGGACCGCCAGTGGGTGGGCAGCACGGTGCACACCACGTGCGGGCAACCGGTCCGGACCAGTTCGCCGGGGTGTTCGGCCAGCAGGCTGTCCAGGGTCCGTTCGGCGAGCACATCAGCCTTCAGGAACCCGTCGCGGTTCCTCATCGGTTCTGACATGTGCATGCCGGGAGCGGACGGGAACGAAATAAATACGACACGCAAACGGACGGACGGCCGAAAAAAAAAAAACCGCGTTAGCGACGTAATAAGCGACTGCCGCTGCTGCTGCTGCTTCTGCTGCACAGTACGCGGAGCGGCGTGCGTGTAGTCGTGGACGGGCGGACCGGCGCGACTGACTGTTTTAAAAAAGCGTGGTTTTTTTTTTCGCTGTTCGTGGCCGGTTCGTCGGTCGGAGGTTGCGGGCCGCCGCGGAGCTTTGGTTTACCGCCGTTGGCCGCCGCGGTGAAGAGCTGGGCCGGCGGAAGGTGTTCGCGCCCCGCCGTGGGCGGAGTTTGCGTCTGCTCTGCGGAAGACCGCGCTGGCCCTGCTCGGTGGTGGTGGCGGCGGTGGCGGTGGCGGCGGCGGCGGTGGCGACGGTGGCGAGGCGATAAGAAACGGAAGAAGGAAAACGATACGCGGCGTGGGTACATAAGAATATATATAAGAGTGTCGTCGTGACGGGGGGGTGTGGGCGAGCGGGCCGGTGGAAGTGGGAGAGAAGGACGAAGACGAGAAGAACGCGAGGAGAAAAGGCGGGAGAAAAGAAAACGGGGGCGCAAAGAATGCCGGAAGAAAAAGAAAACGGGCCCCGCGGGCAGGGGTGCAGAGCGGGGTCGTACCGTCGTCGTCACGGCGGCGGCGGCGGTGGCGGCGTGGCGGCGTGCGGTGTCCCGACGCATGCTTAGCGGCCGTAGCCTGTTGATGACGGTGCAGCGCGCTGTTCCGTCTGCACCGCTGTCCCCGCGATAGTCCGTATAACGTTTCAATTACCTTCCGCCGCCACCGCCGCCGCCGTCGCGTCGCCTCGGACCTCGACTTTTCGCAGCACGAAAGCCAATTCGACACGGTAGACGAGGTTGTTTTTTTTTTTTTTTTTTTTTTGTTTTTTCTTGCGTTTTTACAATCCAACGACGCGATAATTATTATTATTATTATATAAGTGTATATTGGCCCGTTGTGCGTTTTTTTTTTTTCATGCTTTTACCGTCTTGATGTAACAATTTCAATAGAAAATACCGTTATCGACTTCTCTCAGGCAACGGATTTTTTTTTCCACGCTCCACTATCCAAAAAGAAATACTACCGTGCGGGAATCAGAAAGCGGATTCAATCCTTTAAATGAACGATTCATTTTTTTTTTCTGAAATATTAAAATCGACCATAATACTTGAATTGCATAAAAATTAATACACATTAATAAATAAATAATCAATGAATAGATTTTATTTAAAAAAAATCCATTACATATACATGACTAGGTACCTATTATTCTTGAAATTCGAATTTCTTTTCTTTTGAACTAAAAAGAAAAATATATATAATTTTTTAATGCTCGGTGAATATTTGTTGAAAATCGCAATGAATCTTGTTAAAATTTCGGTCGTTTCTAAAAAAATATGTATTCAACTATGAGTTTAATGAAAAAAAAAGCCGGTGCATTTATCACGGAAATACTATCCGGACGACATTCTTATATTTTCTGAAAGAAAAAGTTTTTAACATCTATTGTTATTTTTATGTATTATATAAACTATGCCGTATGAACGGAAAAATAAATATTAATGACGGTTCGCTATTATAAAAATAAAAAAAACAACCGAAATTCGATTTCCATAAATACTCGCGAAACTCGCAATATTGAACGGACTGCGTTTCAAACGGACCAGATAGATATGAATTGAAATGTCTCGTTGACGGTCAACGCGAGCACCACGGTTGTTTAGTTTAATGCGTGCGTAAGTCGTTAAAAGAATAAAAACCAGTAAAAAAGTCATTTGTACAGCGATATATTTTAACGTACAAACTTTCGAACGGATGGTAAAGTGAGAAAAAAAAATACTTCAGACCGTGTATATACTGTTCTAAGTGGGAAATTGGGTGTGTAAGATTAAAGGGTAATTGAATTAGTTAATTTACCGTCGATAAATCATTGCAAACGAAAAAAGATTCTGAACGAATTGCGTAAATATTCCCGTTTTTTCCGATTATTAAGAAAACACCCAAATTGATTCCTCAATTAACAAATTAGACAACATTCTATGCCATAAATTCCCGGCAAAGTTTTCGATCGGAACAGGAGTACTGGTTAAAAAGTTTTTTACGGAAACAAAAAAAAAAAAAAACATACACGCCTACTATCGTAGTAAAATCCAACACACTTCTCGTTGCATTCATAATCTAAAGTAATAATAATATAATATAGGAACAATTTTCAGTCCATCCGATATCACTTTTCCATCCTACTCTTCCAACTTCCCACCAATGAGTTACAACAATGGCATGACCGTCTGCATATCCGTTCAATTGTTTTAGTTCATTTAATGAGCTAAGGTAATATAGGACCGGAATCTAACGTAGATATCGTAGATATAGAAAAAAATATTAATTTTTATGAGATCTTCAGCTTTAACTCAACACGAACATTTTCGGGACAAGTTACACCCTCTAGTCGATAGCTTGTTCCAAAACTATCCGCTGAGATAGCGTTGTGGCTCAAGGGCGCCCATCTATCATAACCTAAGAGGTTGACAATCATAAAATAAAAATACTTAAAAACTAAGAATCAACAAAATTGCTTTTATTAAATAACGAAACAAACATAAATTCCATATGCGAATAAAAACTGTAAATTGCGCTTTTGCAAACTAAATTTTTCAATTACTTTTTCAGCAAATTTGGTGTCGTGATAAACATTTTGTCTATGAACACTGAGCACACTTAAATCATCCAACCTACATTCTCTTATAGTCATTCTTATCATTATCATCAGAAAAATTAATTTATTATAAGTAAAAAAAATTACAATATAATTTTCCTAGGGGAGTGACATGTCTCTCACCCTCTAATGGGTGTCCCTGGTGGGTCTATTAAAGGAATAACTTACGTTTCCCATTCTACCTACTCTTTTTTGTGGGCCATGCGTTTTCTTTCCTCGCGACCAGGAGGGTCAGGGGCCAGGGGGCCGGCCCTTTTCAGTCCGGTTTATCTCTTGCACTGTTATTTGTAATTTGTTAATATATAAACATACTCATTTTTAAATTTGTTCGTTTCTAATATATAATCTGTAATTTATAGCAGCTACAAATGGATAACCGTGATAATTATTATGTACAAGTCGTGACGGTTTGATTGAAGAAGATGCGTCGCGATACTGCTTCGAAGATGATAGATAATTGTTCGTTTTCGTATTGTGTAAATAATTAATCTCGCAACCGATTGCGTTTAAGACGACGGGGTAGCCTATATTATATTACACACGCACAGCCAGTCGAAATTGTCAACGTTTACCCGGCGGCATACGTATAACCATTGGTGCTGCACACGTCGTCGTCACGTTGTCGGATTTTCGGCCCGATAAATATTCTAGTGCTGTCGACAACAATAACTAGTGCTGCGCCACATATACGTATACGCTATACACCCGCGCACACATTCACTCATACATGTATACATGCATACTTACTTACACATTACATTCATACGAGCATCCGACTTACGACTCACGGCCTACACCGTGTTTGTTTTGGTAACGGGGAAATATTATACGTCGACCCTCGTTAATCCGCGAGACCAGAAGTCCTCCGTCTCGGCCGTATTAAACATTCAAAAGACGTCAAGTGCCGCCCGTTTCGAACTAGCGCACGCGAGTTATTATTCGTTGACGCGTATAACAGTCGCCACGCGTGCGTGTTTTCCGCGTATCTCCTCGTCCCGGAGTTCGCGCGTCTTGTGCACTCGAATTCGCGAGGTCGATGAATATTCCATCGCGACGGTTACGCGACGATACGCGAAGTTTTCCCAACGGTCGCCGGAGACAATATCGCGAAACGTGACCTATTTTATTCTTACGCAGATAACGGTGGCTAATGATTTATCCGAGATCGAGATAAATGACATAGATCTCAGTTCCGGAACACACCTATCCGGACAACACGAAAAAGATAATCTAATCGTTTGTTTCAAAGAATACCCAAAATCCAATTTTTCACTTTTCAAGACTACCGTGAAAAACTGTCCGATTGTCTCTTTAGACTTCCGATATTGCTAAAAGATACCCGAATATATTACTCACTCTTACGTATACATGTGTCGTTTTAAGGGAAAGTATTATTTTGTAATTTGTACATGTGGGATTTCTGCGGTAGTTGACCTTACCGCGTACCCTGTTTTTAAACGTTTCCCTCGTTACTAATCGAATAATTATACAGTGTTAAAAACAAACGATTACTAAGTATTTTTTTTAATGATAAACATTACATTTTAAATAATATTTTTAGTAGGTCACGGTTCAAATTCAAAACGTAATATTATTAAACATTCAAAATTAAAATAGTATTGTATGGGTATTATATGATGACTAGTAATGCGTAGACACAAGTATAAGTCTTAAATTTATAATAGTTTTTTTTGAATAATTGCGAAAAATCAATTTTCATAGTATTATTATAATTACGCATTTGTGCACTTCCGAGATTTACCGTATTTGGAAAAGAAACATGCTATAATGATAATTATTACATAATGTGTTTACGTATTTACTAAAAAAAAATGTGCATACAATCGAAGATAAGATAGGTCGGTTTTATCTAGAAAAAAATTAAAAAGTAAGTGCGTAAAAATCTAAATTATCTATAGATTTTATCTATGTAGATAATCCCAAATCCAGTCGGAAAAGCTTTTAAGATAATATATATACTGTTCTTACAGTTTGTATTCGGTGAACGGATTTTTGTCAGTCCGAAGGCGACCTAAAATACGGGGCGCTGAAAGTGGCAGATTTATGATTATTGACCAATAGTTATTTTATTCGTTTCTAGTAATTATAATGAATTTAACAATCATGAATTTCATTTCATTTATTGTACGATGAATAAAATATAATTTCTTCCTAAACAAAATATAAGGTCAATAAAGGTCGGTTGAAGAGAGGTATGCTACAGCACCCTGGAACTAACTCCCACTCTCTTTCCTTCTAGGTCCACGTCTGGGTGCAGGCCCGGCAAAAGGTGTATTTATGGGTCGGCCCAAGATTGAATCCCATAAAAAAAAAATGAGTTTCTGGCAGTAAAAATATGCCACGTGCTCGTATTATACCCACGTTTTCACAACACGCGTTTATTTTTCTTTTCTTTTTTTCATCTCACCGCCGCGGGGACTTTGCGAATCTCGCGCGCACAAGGCCCTTGGGACGTTTTACGAGTGCAGTAGGCCTACGTCCTCGTATATATAATACATAATATAAGTTTGTGAGTGTGTACACACGCCGTGGCCGAGGTATGTTTTTTTTTTTTTTCGCTTCCTTTTTTAACACGATTTATTTTTTTTTTCTTACTCTCCCCCGTTGTATACGCGTAACAGTTCCCCCGACGATCGCTCTCGCCAGAAATTACACGAACGCGCGCCGATTTCAAATACCAAAAGTCATATGGAATTTTACAGCATCACCCTTCGCTCTCCTCCGCTCTCTCCTCTCTCAAACCCACGAGCAAATTCGCCATCGCGGCCCGGCCGCAGTTTTGGCATCGGTCATGGTGATGACGCAGCTATAGTCAGTATAGTACTATGTCACCTGACGCCCGCGAGGATACGTGTGCGGTGTGCGGCGGTCCGGCCGCACAGCGGTGCGCAAACTGCCGGGCTGCGCGGTACTGCGGCAGGGCCCACCAGAGGGCCCACTGGAAAGACGGACACAAGGCCGCGTGTCACCCGTACGTGGTGCTCACCTCCCCGGCCCTCGGCCGTCATTGGGTGGCCGCTCGGGACATCAAGGCCGGCGAAGTGTTGCTCGAGGAACGGCCGCTGGTCGTCGGCCCGAAGGCCGGCTCGCCGCCCGTCTGCCTGGCGTGTTACGCGCCCGTGACCGACGGTCGAACGTGTTCGGCCTGCGGTTGGCCAGTGTGCGGGGCCAGATGCGAGATGGCGCCAGTCCATCGGCTGGCCGAGTGTCCGCTGATCGCTGGCCAGTATGACGCTCGCAGATCGGCCGTCTACTGTTTTGTAACGCCACTCAGGTGTATGCTGCTTGACAGTAGTGAAGGCGACCGCCGCGCAGCGTTTCGGTCACTCCAGTCGCATCTGGACCGCAGAATAGGCACCCCGCTGTACCAAGCGTACGCGATTAACGTTGCCGCGTTCGTGCTGGACCGGCTGGGCTTACGGCGACTAGCAGATAGTGACGGGGGCCCACACGACGAAAGGTCCGCACTGGAGGCGACCGCCGTGCTCGATACCAACGCTTTTGAAGTACGCCGGGAGGGCGGCCGCAAGTTTCGGGCCGTATACTCTCAGGCGTCCATGATGGCGCACAGCTGTACGCCCAACACTAAACACGTGTTTGTCGGCGATCCGGCCGACGGCTGTCCGGTGATTCGCATCACAGCTGCGGTGGCCATCGGTCTTGGCTGTCCCGTGACGGCCACTTACACGCAAACGCTGTGGTGCACGCGGGACAGGCTCCGGCACCTGCAGTCCGCCAAATGTTTCGAATGCGCGTGTCCGCGGTGTACCGATCCCACAGAGCTCGGAACGCACTTGGGCTCGATAGCGTGCCGGGCGTGCGCCACCGGCCGCGTGCCGATCACCGCCGACGGCCCGTGGCAGTGCACCGGTTGTGGCCGGCGAACCGATGACAGCGGCGGTGACGGCGTGGCCGAAGCGGAGCACCACGTTCGTTCGTTAAGCCGAGCGGACGGTGCGGGTTTCGAGCGGTTCGTGAAACAGGTGTACGCCAGCGAGTGGCTACCGCTGCACGCCGGCCACTACGTAACGGTGGGCGCCAAGTACGCTCTGGCTCAATTGTACAGCAACCGGATTTCAGGTTTGACTTGACCGCATCATCTCCGCGTCTTATTTTTATTCGTGGTTTTTGCTTTTACAGAGCTGACGCCGGCACAATTGAAATACAACACGAAAATATGCGAAGAACTGTTATGGCTGGCCGACGTACTGGAACCGGGAATCACGAGGTTCCGGGGCCTGTTGCTATTCTATCTGGTCCGCGGTCTCAAACAGCTGAACCGCGTTACGAAAACCAAACAGGTCGGTATTATTTTACTAAAGGTTAACTTAATATTTAAAACAATAACGAAACATGTTTCAAAAACGTGTATGCCCTAAACACATTTTTTGTAACTAAAAACACGTTTAAAACGGAAAAAAACATTTTTTTTTTGTTTGTTATTCTTTTCGCAACCTTGATTTTATACCTATACAGATATTTTTTCTGTACAACTATACAACGTGTTCATTGTTTATGTGTGTACGAATTTCAGAATAACTACGAGACGATCAAGAATTACACAGAAGAAGCGGTGGTCATACTGAAAACCGAACCCGATCTGGTGCATTTAATTGAACAGTTACAATAATCGACTAATAGTCGATTATTATTATACAATCTTTTTTCATTGTGAGATCGTTAGTTTTTATTGTACCGTAGTAAACATTACTATTGTAGAAACAATAATACGTCTTTTCCAAAAGCTGTTCACTCGTTATGATATCCACCGATAAACCGTTCGGTCGAAATTACATAATTCGCCTTTACCCCTTCTACTGCTATTTTGTACACTAGAAATGGAATAAAATAATACATACCATAAGAATTTTCGCGTATTGCATATAGAGGGAAGTTAGGGGGGAAACCCCTTCCAAAATACCTTCCTTCACTACGTATTTAGATTTTGAGTGCGGCGAAGAATGTATTCGTTTTACAATGATGTTTATTTATTTATTTTTTTATGTGAACACCTTTTCTAGAATTGCCGACAATGCATCACTATTACCCGAACTCTGCTCAAAATCATTTATTTGTTATCAATGGTTTATCGTTGATATACATTAAATTCCCTTCTGTATCCTACCTTTCCCACCACAAACCCAATAAAATTGATTACCAGAAAACCGGGCGATAATTTACATTTTGTCGTTCACCGATATTTTCCCAGCTATCCCACAAAACGACTTTTTTTACAATCCACAAATTGTTTTTGCCAGATGGCATTTATTATAATACCCAAATTGTTATAATATTATCACGATAAAATCGGAATAATTATACAAAATATTATGTACCCCTAATAGGGTTTTTTTCTTCGCAGATGTAACAACACGATGGAATCTTATTTCACAAAAAAATATAAAACATTTTCAGTTTATGATCACCAATTATAAGCGAATAACGCAATTTGTATACACCATTATCGCTGAAAATATCATTATCAAAATGTATTAAAAAACAAATAAGGTAATAAGAGAATATCAATAATGACAAAGTTAAGTTGCTATACGTAAAATTTACAAAATGTTGATAAAACCTGAAATTAACCTTAAAAAAAAAAGTTTATGCAAATTTTCTAATACACCCTAATACCCATAGAACATACAAATTCAAATTAATCACTCATACGTCAAAAATCAAGACCACCACAATACTGCATGGAATATAGACACGATTTACTATGAGACCAGATGAAGTTGATAATCGGTTTCTAGTAGAAAAGTTGATTACAAAGGACGAAAAAAAAGCACATAGCATTAGAGCAAAATTAAATAAATATTATATACTGCTCGTCGCTGCGTTCAGAATCTAAAAAATTGAAAGTCCGGGGTCACCGTGTTTGGAAAAATAACGAAGGTCATGAATATTCGTCCAAATACCAAAATATGCATACAGGTATACCTATATAATGTTATTACTTGAATGTCACACGTTATGTCGAGACTACCGACTATACATAATTAAAATGTTGACGTATCCGAGGACCGGGAGTTTTACAGGAGACTGCACGCGTGTCAAGGCCCCAGGGACCACTTGTATAGGTATGATGCTCGTCCCCCCTCCCCGTAGAGGAAAGGAAAAATTAATTAAAGCGAATTGTTTTATCCCTATACACGAGGTCTACAATAGAATTTTGTTATCACGAGCGTCTTAACATTGTTCCAGATTTGAAGATTTGAAATTAATAGCGTGCTAAGATTCAAAAAAAAAAAATCGAGTTAGACCTGAGCTTAAAACTGAGCTTTGTGCCATCGTTAACAACATATAAAGAGCACAATGTGTCAAGACCATAATAATTTTAATATCCACAACTCCCAATAAAATGACGTAAGAGCTGTGTCCCGGGGCTGCTGATGAGGGTATGGAATAACTCAAAATCGACTGGTAAAAATTAATTGACTGCACTTAGCCCGTTATTGATTTCAAGACTTTATTCATATCCTGACGCTATTAATACGCTGTATTCGAACAAAAATAGCGTAGCTTTTGTAATTATTCGTCTATTTAAGGAATTTTCAATAAAAATTGCCATTTGAAAATCGAAATTTGTGTAGTAGTTTAACACTCCTACCTTTGCCTCTGTGAACATAAGAGTAATTTTACATTTTAAAATAAATAATACGCCTAATTTTTTTTACACGAGCCATTTTTTTTTTTTTCTTAATATGTATTTCGCGGTGAAATATACAGTAACATAACATTCGGAAAATTCTGGTCTTAGTGTATAGGTTTAATTTATTTCTGTAAACAACGATGAATACAAACTAACGAAAAAAATAATGTGAGCGTAATTCGGGTAGACATATGTTTCAAAATCCAATGAATTCAGGTTTGTAAGATTTTCGTCAAACTATTTAAATAAAATGCTCATGAAAATAAACTTCCTTATAACATGCGATTTTAGATGATGATGTTTATTTTTTTGTCTCAACAACTTTTCTGTAAGAAGGCTTAATCATATTTCTATGTGTAGCACATTTTCTAGAAGGAAATCAGTATGCGGGGGGGGGGTACTTTAGCCATGTCATTTTTTTATTTTCTTAAGAATTTTCCCAGCAAATGTGAAAAACCGGGGTAAAACATGGGAAACCCAGAAAAACGTAGGAAAATTGGGAAAATCGGTACAACATTAACAAATATTATTAAAAAAAATGTATGAAACCTATTTAATTATTTAACTATAAAATGACACATATATTGTTAACAAAACATCACTATCAACTGAACTCCGCTCAAAATCGTTTTTTTCCTAATCAATGGTTTATCGTTGCTTACAAATATACATTAAATTATCTATAACAGTAGCTGCATCCGTTCTCATCATCTTAGGACGTCTTTTTTTTTGTTTCTACTAATTTTAACGTATGATGAAACTTGTTTTAAATTGTATGGTATATTTGTTGGGCCAAAACGACACATCCACATGAAACCAAATGATTGGAAAATCAATGTTTTGGAGCGAAATTTCTCGTAAAAATATAGTTAACAGTCAAAAAAAAAGATAACAAAAAAAAACACATTCTATAGTATTAAACCCTAGTGCATTCCTCGATACGCTCTGAATCTAAAAGAAAACTTCCTCGACAGATTATTTCTACCGGGCTGCAAATTGAAACGTAGTCGCCGCCAAATAGCTAACAGACCGCGACGAGTGCCAAACATTCAAAAATAATTGGCCGGGTAATATAGACTCGAAACAAATGTTTCCGAACATATATATATAGACAATCGGGCGATCGGTATGCAGTTCGAATATAGTCTTTGTTATTCAGTTGTATGTTTAAAAAAAAAAAAAAAACGTATTCTTTAAAAGCTATCCTAGGATAATGGAACCGGTGGAGCCAATGTTTGGGAAATTGGGAAGGTAGAATATAGAAGGAAATTTAATGTATATCTGTAAGCAACGATAAACCATAGCTAATGAAAAACCGATTCTGAGCGGAGTTCAGTTGATATAGTGATGCTTTGTCAACAATATATATTATGTCATATTATGATAAAATAATTAAATTATAGCATTATATATTTTCTTTAATAATATTTGTTTAATATTGTACCGTTTTTTCTACGTTTTTTTTTTTTCTTTGTTTTTCACATTTGAGAAAAACGAAAAATGTACCACCCCCAATGTACTTTTAGAAAAATGTCTACATCGTATAAATCGGAGTAATCTTTCTGTTAGACAGTGTTCACATAAAAAAGAATTTTAAAAAAATAGACATATTTGTAAAACCAATACATTCTTAGCTTCTTGGCTACATTCTAAAAATTTCAAAATATAACTGGTTGTTTTTATTAGGGCGCCATTATTATATTTGTATCGGAAAATAGTAAGAACGACTATAATCAAAATAAGTTTATTTTATTTTAATTTTTTTTTTAACCCGAGATACTTATATCCAAAATTATTTAATTTTCAGGTTTTAAGAAAAATAATTTTCCGACCAGTATTGTATGGTCAAATAAATTGATCTCCACAGTATTTCGAAAATAATAATAACACAATATTTGTTGTAGTGCAATGACTTTTATACGAGCTTTTCGACATACTCATACCGTTATACAAATTTTATTTCATCGCTTAAATTATTAAAAATTGAAATACATATAAACACTTAGAGCCACATAACCATACTCTTATTTTTATTGAACAATTGTATAACGGACAAATCTGTAGTGGCGTGAATAGTTATCCTGCATATTAAGCGGTTGCTTCGTGATCGAATTAAGTGAGAGGGTTTTTGGGGATATATGTGAGGTTGGGTAAGGTTTAACCCGTAATATATTTTAATAGAAAATACTTAGTAACGGTTTATAGTAACCTTAGCTGCAGACTTTTTTTAGCCTTAGGTAATGCGAGATTTTTTTAATTTTAACGAAACCACTACATAAAAAACAAAAAAAAAAAAAATTCACGCCGCCACTGACGAACAATTATTTATTTTCGATACATAATACCGCAATGTATTATAACTAGGTATATATATAATATATTGTACACAAACATTTAATTTAATCTAAAAAAAACAACATGATACTGCAGGTAATAAGCGTGCGAATATTATAAAATAATGATTTCGTCAAATACATTTAAAACTTAAAACGTTACACGAACTAATAAACATCGATATATACAATAATTCGGTTATTTTTAAAAGTTTAGCCGATCGTTCAAAACGTCCCGTCGACTTATTTTAATTTGTTACTGTTATTATACCTATAGCCTATAGGTATGCGAATATCGCGTGATATCAAAATAATGTTATATTTACCGAGAAAATGATATGCTTACTGACGTACGTAAAAGTGATGATAACGGACAAGGGAACGGGGGAAGATTGCAAACATGAGAAAAAACGGTCGGTGAGACCGTCTAAACTTAGCTGCACGTGACCGAAAAAACGCGGATAAATTATAAACGAGACGGATTAAAACTTAGCGAAAAAATCGGCAAACAAACGTCGTCGTTTTTTCGTTTTTGTTGTATATTATTCATCGCGATACTTTCGACGAAAACGCATTTCACGGGCTTTTTTTTTTATTTTACTCGAGGGTGAAAAATATTCGCCAACGGTGTACAATAGTGTAATTAGTGACCCGAAGCCTTAAAATATATAAACCGAACGTTACACTCGATTTGTATAATATAACGCGTCGAAATCGGTGGAATATTTACGGAGGGAGAAAGGATGAGTGATGAAGTGGTGCTGGACCCACAACCCCAAAGTTAACGAAATAAATCAAGCATTAGATAAAACTTCCTACAGCACAGTTGATTTTCAAGCTGCTGTTGATTATTATGTGCGTACCTTTATGATAAACTTTATCGCACAGAAAAACTGATTATAATACAAAAAAACCTATAGTTGTAGTCAGCAGATTAGACAATTGGAATTGTAAATATAAACTGAACGCCCATGTGATAAGCTATCTGCCCCCTTCCCCCCAGAAAAATAGTCGAGAAACAGAAAATCCTATCCACAGCTCATTTTTTCAAAGAGTATAATAAAACAATTGCATAATGTTCATTGATTATAACTAGGATAAGAATTGAATATTCTTCGAGTTCTAAATTTTATTGACGTTATAACTTAAAACTATTATCGTTAACTATCCAATTTTTAACTCGATTATTATCAATAAGACGCGTTTACTACAATACTCTTTAAACAAATAAACTACAGGTTTGTGTCTCTGGCACATACATACTTAATCAGTTATCAGTGATATCACTGATCTATTAAAATTCTATACTATAAGTCTATCTATTATAATTCTACGTATACTGTAAAAATACAGAATGACTAATGATACAGAGCTCAGGATTTATGGTACTTAAAAACCGCAAAACGCTTAAAAATGTAAAAATATAAAATATTTGAAAAGTGGTAAAAGAGTTAAAAAAATTTCCCTTCTAACAACTTGAACTTATTAAATGCTATTTTCTACGAAGTACTACAAAAATGATTATTGCAAAGTAATTTTTTTTTTAAATACGTACAATTATTTGATGTAAACAACATTATTTGTATTATTGTTACTTTTGTAGTGTTAAAATATGTAATTTAATAAGTTACAGCCATAGGAGAAATCCCTCTACCTTTTTTGCTTTTTCAAATGCATTGTTTTAAATGATTTCGGAGCTTTTTTTAAATTTAAGTGCTACAAGTCCCGAATCCTGGTAATATTATATTATATCGACTGTATTTTTTTCTCGACGTTTGATAAAAAATATTGTTATACAACAATGATCGTATCATAATAGAATATTATTGTTGAAGTAAGAAGGACATTGGACGGCGGCTGCAAGGGCGGCGGGCTTGCCGAATTCCGTCCAGCGGCCGACTGTCACGGACGACGACGACGACGGCGAAGAATTCTGATGGTAACCCATGGCGGCTGCAGCGGAAGTCGCGGCTACGGCTGTGGCGGTCGACTGAGGCTGTGACATTGGCTGCGGCAAACGTTTGGTCATCGGGTTAGCTGTAAATTCGTTGGGCGGCGGCAATCCACCGTAAACCATCCCGGCCGACTGGTTGAATCTGTTTAAATCAAAATAACCAGAAAAAAAAAAAAAACGTTTCTTCATCACTTTTATATTACACACAACACACTGGTGTAAACACAATAATATTATTGCTTATTGAGCGTAATTGATTCGTTATATAACGAATCTAATGTCCAGAAAAAAAAAAAAAAATGTTTTTAACACAACGCAGATACCTGATATTTATCTAGTTAGAAAATAAAAATAAAATGATTTAAAGACTTATTCAGATAAAGGTAAATAATAATTTTCAGTTATTTAGATATAACATACAATTATAATAATTACAGGCGATTTATTTAAATTCGTAGATATACGTAGGTAAACCAGATTCCAAACATATTATTAAATACTAAAAACAGTATATGTACTATATAATAGATCTATCTAATACTTTATTTTAGTATTGAAATACGATTTTTTTTTCAAACAAATGATACAATCTAAACGTTTTTTGTGTTATCCACGTATTTAATACAGATTATTAAAAATATCTTTATCATTTAAAGGTAAGATAGTTTGATTTTAATAAAATAATATAAAGTATGTCGGTATCTAGATTATCTTCTAGATTATTCTATGAAAAAAATACTTTTAACGCTGATATATTATTATTCTAATGGAAGTGTTTAAATCAACCAACGATTCCCAATCTATAGGGCTGCACCAAAATGAAAATATTGAAAAGGCTTGTGTCACCTGTTTTTTATTTTTTTTTTTATATAAATGAGTTATTGATACACTCTGTACACTCTGGAAGAACTCTCATACATTCAAGAGTAGTACGATTTCGATAGTTTCTTTTAAATACGTTTGATTTCGACCAATATTATTGCAATTTGTTTTGATAAAAAAAGTTTTTGTGGTTTATGGCTAAATAATCAAAAATCGAAGTTCTACACTTCCTGTAGAACGTATTTTGCATGACAATAAAATATTATACAAATTATAATTTATCGAATTTTCGGTACGATTTGTTATGACGTGTTAACAGTTTATAAAAAGCCACAAGCAGGATGATTATAACAATTACTTAGGTATATTATATTTCCCTATATTTCTGATTTTCCATTTATTGTATTCCAGGACCGTGCATAAAATTTGATCACACAATTTTGGGTAACAAGTGAATATCGGATGACACGCAGCATGCGTGAAATTATTATAATAGTTCAAAACGGGTGGTCTGAAGGTACGCGAATGAAAAAAAAAATGAATATACTTTGCACGATGGGTAGTCCACTATTGTGAAAAGGAGTTCGGAAAGGTAGCATGTAGAAGGGTATTTAATTTTTATCTGTACGTAACGATAAAACATTGAAACGAAAAACGACTGGGGCGAAGTTTGCTTTATACATGTACGAACATTTTCCCGTGTTTACTACATTGATATGAAAACCGTTTAGAAAATGGCTTTCTTAAAATACTTAAAAACAATCCAAATAAAATTTCCTTTTAGGAAAGGTACTACATTTGAAAATCGGAGCAAGATTTATGGTAGAAAAATTATTTATAAATACAAAAATAAATAAATAACATTGTAAAACCAATCAATTTCACGTTACGCTTCGAATCTAAAAGAGGAGAAACACCGGTTTAAATACGAATTTCGTGTCACTATAGTATCGATACTGTTTTCGAAACGTTCGGTCGTGTTCACCCGAGGATAATATTATTCATTATTTTTGTTTGTTTACCTCCCCCATTTACCCTTTTGTATACGAAACGGTTAAAAAATAATAAATTGTCGCTGTACTTTGATTATCACACGTGTCAAATGACGGAAACCATATAAATAAAAAAAAAAACCAAACGAAATTAAAAGTAAACTCACCCCTCGCCCCCTTATATAAAACCTACTACGTGGGTCGATTATTGGTTAGAGAGAAAAAAAAAAAGCTGATACTGTTGAAGTGTGCTCCACTACTGTTATAGATGAAAAATTGGTAAATTAGAATTTATATAATTAATGATTTATAGGCAATGATACATAGATTTTAACGAAATACGATTTTGATCGAAATTCGATTAACATGTTTATTTTGATTGTTTTAAAAATTCGTAGTTTTTACGATTTTCGTAAAAATTTTAAACTGAATGAAGCATACAAAAAAGTACAACATAACACTGAATTTTTTTTTTTTTAACCAAGTTGAGTACAATTTATGACGAAACTTGTACATTTTCAAGCATATCTGCTCGGTCAGAACAATTTTATCTGCATAAACTTATTAAAAATTAAAAAAAAACTCGAAAATGTAAAATGGTTATAAATGGCTTATAAAAAACCACTAAAATGACTTTATCGAATTTAAAAAAAGAAGCAATATGAGTATTCGTAAATATTTCAGTTCTTTATAATTATTTTTAGCTAAATTATAGAAAAAAAAAAAAAAAAACAAAACAAAATCGATAATAATGAAATCGTTGTTTCAGTAAACCCGGAAGAGTTTTCCTCGGGTAATTAGAAAAACTACAAGGAAAATAAAAAAGCAACTTTCCAATGCACCGAATAGACAACATTTTTCTGAATATAGTAAATAAATATATAAATAAAAATGTATGTGTATGTATACAAAAAAATAAATAAATAAACGAACAAATGCGTCGCTTGGAGACGAAGCAATATTTCTGGTAGAAACAGATTGGAGAAAAAATATTAAAATCGTACACATCATAGGAAAACGCTGCGCTTAAAATCTAAAGTGTTTTATCATCGAACTTTTTACGGGACAAAATCATTAACGGTGTTCATAACATAATATTAATTATGTATATTTTATTATTGTTCGCCAAGACGTTTAATAGTGTTTCGTAATATTTATGCATGTAAATATAACAATCTGTAACTCAATGAGGTTTTTTCGTACGTGGTTTTTATTTTATTATTATTATTATTATTTTTTTTTATTTTTTTTCAATAAATAAAATAATATGTAAACAATTGTAAGATTATCTGTACAAGACATAAATAAATTAAATTGAATATTGCAAATTGAAAAAGACAATATCATCAAGTAAAGTAATATGATATTATATTATGCAACGAAATTATTTGTGTAAACGATATAAGACAAATACCTATAGGTATTAAATATACGACTATAGTGACATTTTGGTGATTTAGTTTGAACCAGTAGGTATAAATTGAAACAAATTAATAAATGCAGGCTTACCGAAAAACGATTTACAAATAAATTATGTAGGATTTTGGTGTACCTATTTCGTTTTAATCGATAAACAAGAGTAATCAGTGGCGTGCGCGGAGGGGAGGTTAGGAGTTATATCCCCCTCTATGGGCTTAAAATACAACAAAATATGAGCATGTTAACGTCGAAATGCATTTATTTCAACCAAGTTATGAGGAAAAACCTTGACATATTGATTAGAAATGGGCATTTTTTTGTGATTGGGCTTTTGAATTACCAATACCCACAGTCGATTTGGGTAGAGAGACGAATTTATGATTTATTCATGATTCTTATTTACTACATCCTCTCCCGTAGATAATTTCTGGGCACGCCACTGAGAGTAATGATATGTAAACATAACATTTTACATTCACTCAGAGAAAAAAAAAATGTTTTCGTGCTAATGTATTTGATGACTGCACAAACAACGTCAGTAAGTTTAGTATAATATCTATGTTATTGCTGATAAGGGTTTTGATAGAAGTTATACAAATTGTCTAACATGTCTCCGTATTGTTGAGCGGCGTTCGTCCGGGCGTTCTGTTGATAACCGTCCCACCCTTCGTAGTATCCGTTGTACTGGACGCTGGGAAGTCTCCAGTCGGCGGTTCCTGTTGGAAATAAAACAATTAGTTTGGGAAATAAAGTCACATTTATTTATAATGATAATAGTTTATTTTGTTAGAAATCAAATCTAATTTTGACAAGTCGGTAGGTCGTAAGTACCTAATCTAAATATATGTTTTAAATGTCCTATGATATTGTTACAATTGTTCCTTTTTTTTAAATGAATTAAGTGTCCGTTAACTGTTCCCACTGTCCAAACCAATCATTATGTCAAAAATAGTATTATTTCGAGTTTAAAAATAATAAAATGGATGTGACGCTATCTACACGGATACGAATGTGGAAGTGTGACGACATTGCGCGTCACCGGGTGGCGAAACAATCGTACGATGTTTTGGTAATTTTAAACCACTAGATGGCGGATGAGTATGCGAAACAGAAACTTATTATTTTGAGCAGTACGAAATAATAGGTGCCTCATTACATCATGTTCGGGAAATGAGTAGGCATAATAATAATATTATGCAATATATCATTATTGTGGCGATGTACAATACCAAATTTTGTTATGTTCGGTGGCTGGCACAATAAGCGACTAGGTATACATACTATAATCAAACGCCAACTGTTTCATTAAATATCGTAACAAAATATTGTTCATCATCTGAATGCCATAGTAAAACAGTTAAAAGACCATTGAGGGATTTTCCGTACTTGCAGAATCTCTGGGAAAAGGTTTCGCTAAAAAATTTAACCAATACAGTAGGTAATACGTATTACCAGAATTCATTTCAACGCAAATACAATTATTTAATATTCTAAGGTCGGGCCTTTCATACACAGGTAATATGATAATAATAATATTACACCCATACAAAATATTATATAATACATTGATTCTTCGGCAATAGTATTATAATATATTAGGTATTTGCTTTAGCAGACGAATAAAATTAGTTCTATTAAAGATATTGACATATTGTTCGTATTACTTACAGCACACAATATATTATGTATGTATGCGTTGGCCGGTGGTAAAAATTAATAATTACCGTCGTTTACCATAATATTAATATCGACGGGCAAAAATGTTATATTATTATTACATTACGCTCTCGTAAACTAGTTGGCCTCACAAAACGTTCGAAATTCAGTTCAGTGTAATATAAATGATAGGCACCCATCAGCCGGGTTGGGTTGTAGATATACCTATGCATTTCATCATCTTGTTTGAGGCGATATACAGCACGAACGTACGTTTAATTTATTCATAATTTAATCGACTATACGATGAAAACATATTTATTTTCGATTACTTATGCTTGTTATTCGCTGGCTCCAAATAAAAACATTACAAAATATAAGTAAAAATATTATATGAATAATATTGTATAATTTTAAAAAAGTATTTTAGTAATAATGAAATAAACTCGGTAAAAAAGTGATGCTATTTTATTAAGTAACAGTATATAATGTCATTTTTCTATGTTCGGTTAGAATTCCGTTATACATTAAACTTAACACGTTTTCATTAAAAAAAAAAAAAAAAAAAACCGGTCGATTTGTACCCAATTATTGTATAATTTATGAAGTTGTTCGGTTTGTTACTCATTTAAACATTTTAAAAATGATAATATACAAAAACGACGAATATGATTCTCAATAATTTCGAATAAACAATAAATATTGACGGGTTAAAGTTAAAAATAAATGTCATTTTTTTACATATCTTACATATAGTCAATAGATATTGAGATGTTGTACTAGTCGTTGGCCAAAAAAATGTGCTACTTCTATGGGTGGGAAATCGGAAAGGTTGAATAATTAAATTTGTTTAATTCATATATATAAGCCATTATAAAACCATTTCAAAAGAAATACGATTTTGAGCGAAATTCGGTTACGCATATAATGAATGCCGTAATTCATACGAGTTTCGTCAAAATATAATAAAAAAACTTGTTCACAATCAGTTTTTTTTAAAACTAAATACAACTTATAATGAACTTCATATTAAATTTTTGAAGGTTTCAGTTAAGTCTAATAATTATAATACCTACAAAAAACAAAACTAAAAAAATAGCTTAAATATCATTAAAATTTTTTGAACGTCCCGTTAAAATGGGATAATAAAAATATTCAGCTAATTACGATAATTTTTAGCCGATTTACAACAAAAAATAAAAATCAAAAATAACGAAACTATTAACACCGTATTTCCTAAGTTTTTTTTTCCAGTATTTCGCAATTATCACGAAAACTGGTTGACAAACCAAAAACCTAACTTACTTATTTGCCAACTAGATACAAAATTTAATATAGAAAAAAGTTGTCTTGTTATTTTTTAATTGAGCAAGATTTCTGAAAAATTCGTTTACTGCACACAGAAAAATAATACACACACACTCACACACATATTAAAACCAATACATTTTGTTCGATACAATTCAAAATTAATGTCCTCGTAAACGGTATACGATTGTATTTATATCATTTGGAAAAAAAAAACCCTTAAAAATACTACCAAAAACGACAGAATACCCGCATATTCGAACACTGTAATACTCGTTACTGAATATAAGTTAAATATATATAATATATAGTTAAACAAAATGAAACCAACCCATTCGCTATCAAAAAAACTGCGCGTAACGTCAACAATATCGGTCGGGTGCTGTATAATACAAACTCAGGGCGCACAATCATATTATTATATGGCGACCCAGGTACCGGACGGAGAAATCGCTGCATGTCGAGCAGGTAAGTACTATAGAAAAACTATTGCACTATTATAAAGTCTAAACGAGCGTTTCCGGAACACAATGTCGGAGAACAAATCTGTACAAATAAAACGAATATAAACTGTTCTGACTTCGTGTAAGTCGATAATATAAAATATAACTGTATTGTATATGTATACAATTTAAGAATACGGAACAAATACAATGTTTGATAATAAATATAAACGATATAGAGATGTCGAAAAAACCTACTGAAATACAGTGCATAAACACGTGTTGTGACAGAATTATAAACCTACACTGAACGTAAAAACATCGCAAAAAAACATTACAAATAAAAATAAAAATAATATAATCAAAAATGCGTCTATGTGGAAAATATGAAAGGTTTAAAAGAAATAGGTTTTGTAAATTTCAAAATCGCTGAGTACATATTTTTATCACCAGCTATTACTATCAATTAATAAAAAATATGTTTCTTTTATTAGTTAGTACTTTGAATCTAGGTTTGTGCTAGGACAATGCTCTATATAGTCTGTGTATTGTGTTTTTCCGATATATTAGCCGATAAATTTGAATATTTAACAACGATAATAATACTGTCGACGTTCAATAAAATCGTATAGTATACGTTTAAGTCTTAAAATATTAGGTACCGGTGTAGGAAGGCGTGTTTAAGTTCTCGGAAAAATTACTGCTGATTATGTTGTGCTGTACGTTAGAACTATTTTGTTTCCTCCATCTCGCTCGCCGATTGCTGAACCACACCTGTATAAACGATAAAAAGTTATTTTAATATCTATCGACATATTATAAAGAAAGTCGTATTTTTGATAAAATGGCAAGACAAATCTCTCTACCAAGACATATTTTTTAGTATTAATCAAATAGTAAATGTCAGACAATCGAACGTGCAAGCCTTCAAAACAATATAAAAACTGTGGTGTATAATAATAATGTTGTTGTTGGGGACCAGTCGTGTTGAGATTATCAATAGATAAAATCATCTAAATGATAATCTTGATAACGTTGACATAACTAAATATTTTTTGTAAGATAAAACCGAAATTTCGTATCTTAGTGTTTTAAATTATTTTGTACTAATTACGGAGATATTAACAGTGACGTGTCCAGGAATTTTCAACGGGAAGAAATGTAGAAAATAATAATAATGATATATTAATAAACCGTAGAATTATCTTATGTTGTGCCTGAACCGACAATGAGAATATTTTAAAAGCCAGATCGAAAAAAAAAATAAAAATATTTTCAAGTAATCAAGATTTTTTTTTAGTAACTTGGCTAAAATATAAAATGTCAGGATTATATTACTATAAATAAACATTCATAATAATTGTACTTTTAAGCCAAGGGAAGGGGACAGAAGCTTTATAATAGCTTCCTTCCTCCTGCGCACGTTATTGAACATTAATTAAGTAAATTACAAAATCATTCCCCTACAGACGGTATTTTTTCTCATCACGTTGGTCACCTCTAGTAATTCACAAAAATGTCATAATCACTTCATTTTTTTTGAATATTCAATAATATACGTTTCGAATTAAATTACCTTTCTACTAAAAATATTATTTCTATGAATTGTGTCTTAACACAAATCGGTCATCTCTTTACGTAATCTATATAGATAACTGAAAATTACCTTTTCACATAAGCAAAAATATCGATTATCCAATCCAACGATGGGCCTAAAACCCCGCCGGCTTACCTGTACTCGGGGTTCCGGAAGTCCGAACTTCGCGGCTAGCGTCTCCCGGGCCGCAATGTCTGGATATTGGCAGGACAAAAACGACCTTTCCAACCCTTCCAGCTGTTGGGCCGTGAACGCGGTCCTGCCCCTCCGCTGTTTTCTGGATATGACGATTCCCGGTTCAGACGGTACGTCCACGTCGCCGGTTCTTCCTGTCGAAAACGCGCACGTCGCACCGTTATTATTATTATTGTTATTATTATAGGTACACGTAATATTATTATATTACGATAGAAAATCCGCACATTTCGTTATTTACCGACGCGATATTATTATTATTATTATTATTGTGTAATATTCTACTGTTGGGTCGTTTGTCCGTCAAAATATTACGATGAAAACACGCGGTGGATCCGTGCAAATATTTACTTCCTGTTACATACGCACACAGCAAATACCAGTACTACGGTATTGTTCCTAACTCCCGGCCGTGTAAACATACGACGTCGATCGTAACGAAACAATAATATTATTTCATCGCGGATTATTATTGTTGTAGCGATTTTTTTCTCTCGCGTAAATATTCCGCTCAAAATAATATAATACTGTTACGAGGATAAATGTAAATCGTAATAATAACTGTTGCTACCGTCGCTGCGGCGGGCGTTTCGGACCGTGTGAATTCAATCGTCCGCGAACAGGTTGTTGTACACATACGACACTATACGTGCCAGCCGGTGGTCTTTTTTTTTCTTTCCTTTTATTTTTTTTTTTTTTTTTTTTTTTTTTTTTTTTTTTATCTGACTGCTGATATTTTTTCGGTGCGATATCATGTTCAATACGAATATTTTAATGCACCGGTTCTCGCATTGATCGCGCATCAGTGTCAATAATATATTGTAATATGCACTACGCGACGTACAGTAGGTGTCACAAGCGTAATTTCAATTGTAAACACGATAATATTTAAGGACAATATTGTGCATACCTACGACAACTACAATAATAATAATAATAAAACACCAAAAAAAAAAAAAAACGATATCCTTTTCTTTGCGGTTTTTTTTTTCTAGTAAAAAATACGCCAGGAAATTTCTGTACACCCCCCCTCCACTCCGAACCTAACCACGGTCGCTATATTTATACAATAGTTCTTTTTGAACGTATTATAATATTGTTTGCTTGTACACAATGCGTCGCGCAGTTTCTCGAATAAAAAATAAATCCGATTTTAACATTTAGGTGTCCCTATAAATCTATTTAAAAACGGTTGTTTAAGAAAGAAACGAAGAAGTTAATCCTCGGAATACGGGGTTGTTACCTTCCTTTTTTTTTTTCCTGTCTGTATACATAGTACATATTCTATACTATATTATTTTGCTTTCCTGCTGGTTTTTTCTCTTTCATGAACTATTTATAGGTAGTTTATATTATCTAGTAAAGTTTTTATTTCAGTATTTCACTGCAAGTAAACCTTATTACCAATATAATAAAACCTATTATATCTTAACGTATTTTTGTATATCCAAATACCCAAGTAGGCGGCTTTTCAAAGAATCTATTGGTCTATTACTAAAATAGACACTTGGCAACTGAACGGATAAAATTTAACTGCGAAATGAATGACTGCATACAAAAAGAAGAAGAAGATTAAAATAGAAAAAATAAAATAAAATCAAAAAATACTTTTTCAATTATTAAAATGACTCTAAATTATTCGCATTATTTTAAAATTATTCTAAATTAAAGGTTTAGATTTTCAACTAGATGTTACTTTTTCTGAAACAATTTTTAGATTTCCAAATTTTTTTATAAAATTTAAAAAAAAAACTAACAATAAATGCCGATAAATTGGTTTTATTTTGTTGATTTCTAGTTTAAAGTTTGGTTACAAGAAAAAAAATCATGACTCATGCAGGCACGTAGCCAAAGGGCCTGGGTGGGCCAGGCCCACCTTAAATTTACTCTGGCCCAGGGCAGGCCCTCCAAATTCAAAATATATTTATTTTTACTAAATTATCAAAAATGTGATTATGCACATTGAAATACTTCTATTGTGATTACTATAGAGTAATACAATTATTATTGTGTATAATAATTCATTTTTATATTCGAGGATAACGTCATTTGAAAAAGATAAATAAAAGGGTCTTGATAAAAATACCTGTTTTTTAGACAATAATGGACTAGCCTTATCTAATGGTAGAACTAAACAATTTTATCAACGTCTATTAAAAAATATCAAATACATTATAATGTTAAAATAAACAACTTAATAAATCTAATTGAACTACTATAAACTAGCTTTTATCATAATAACTATTCCAGTATCCGGTGCTGGATATGAAAGAACTATTTCATGTCAACGATTACACGAGGAATCAAATGAAAAAAGGATCGTTTAAATACTTTGGCTTCAATAAACAAAGAAAATATAATCTCTAAGAACCTACAACTTAGATATTTGTGTACAAATGTTTCTAGAACATAACAAAAACAGAACAATTATTTTATATTGAATTGTTTAATATTTATATATGTACTTAAAATAGGTACTGTGTTATTAATTTTTTCTACTTGTATGACAGGTGATCTTTTTTAAAAATGTAAGTTTGTTTAAAAATTATAGTTAATTTAAAAATCAATTATCAATATTATTTTTGATTAGTATTCAGGTATAAATTAATTTTTGTTAATAGAAGTTGCGAAGTTTAATCAGCTTGTATTCTAAATATGAAGGTAGATTATTTTTCATAGCATGGAAAATGTATCCCAAAAGTAAAGATATAGGTAATTCTGTAATTTTTTTTTTTTTAATACGGTACTTTTTTTTATTACTGTAATGGGTATACTTGTTGTGATAATAATTTATTTAACCAATTACTAAAATTACCAAAATGTAATCTATTGTAATAAATGCGTCCGACAGTCGAAAACACGCGTTGTGAAAAACAATAGAAAAAAAAAGCAGGTACGAAAAATAAAATGTTTAAATTATGATTCTGGATCGTGTCCGTTTTAAAATCGAAAACGTCGACGTCTCTGACGATTTTTCGAGTCGGTATAGGACGAACGGTCTCGCCGGGATTGTCGGGTCGGCCGTCTCTGATCCATTCCGTTTGAACGGTACACGTTCTATATAATATGTTGAATTTTCAGTTTTTTTTTTATTAGTTGTTTGACCGTTTAATATCCACTAAAACATTATACATTTATAATGACTTTACGTGTTTGAACGGCGGCAGCGGATACACACGCGCGAAAACCGTTACGAATCAACAGGTTAATCAACATGTAACTCCGCGCGGCGGTGACGACAGTCATAATCATAATGATAATAATCGTCCTGTTACAGTTGCGACGGGATGTATTATAATGATATTAAACGTCCGTGCGTATAATAATCTGGTTGCGGGATATTATTAAAAATATGCGGAACGAGACGGACTGCCGCGGTTCAAAGAAAGAAAAAAAAAAAGGAGAAAAAACCGGCCGAAACTAAACGGACAAAGTGTCGGGCGGTCGAAAACTCCGCGAGTCCTCTCGGTACGTGTATTCGGTAAGAGGTCCCGGGGGATAACGGCAGAGGAGACGCACTCGGGACGCTCTAACTCAGAGGCGTGTTTCTCACCGAAACACAGATGGTATAAATTATTATAATACAATAGAAATCAAAAGAAATTTTCTCTTCGTATTCTCTCGTTATTTCGGACTCACAACATTCTATAAAAAGGCGAAATGCGTTTTATTATGAAAACATATTTTGCGCAATGTTATAATGTATTTTAATATACGGCGTGAAAGCAACGCACTCTGAATCTAAAAATTTAAAATTAAAAGCAAAGTGATAACATTTTGGGGCGTGCTTTGTTTCGAAAATCATTTTTACGGTTTTGGCTGAAAACACGAGATACTTTTTTTTCACTCGTTACATTATCAATTATTTTTTATTTTTACTAGGATATGCTATATTTGTCTGCTTGTAAACAACTTTTCGGACTAGAAATCTCGTTCTAATAATCAATTTCGGGGATTGTTTTTGGTAGAAAATGTATCTCTATAGTTGGTGCATTGAGGGAGTCTTTTTTTGGTTTTCTTGTACAATTTTTTTTTAATAATTCTAGGAGAAAATCGGATAAAACGAGAATATTTATTCAATAACGGTTTCTGTTAGTTTTGTTTGAAAACTAAATTAAAATAACTAATATGTTCTGAAGAGTAAAGGTACATTTATGAAGTTCGTGTTCATTCTCAAAACATAAATGAAAACAAACAGTTCCTATCGTTCTTAAATAAAATCTTAATGAAATTTAATTTATGTTTAACCTAATTTATAAAATTAAATCATAATTGGATATTTACAAAAAAAAAAAAAAATAATAAAAAAAATGCATTTAAAATGTAATGAACTATTTTATTTTTTTGTGACCTAACCTGATTTCGGGACTCCGCGTAAAAATATGCAGCGAATTTTTTTTTTTGTAATTTTCTCGCCAGCCCCCGAGTTATTAGTAGTACCTGTTATACTCGTGTTGTATAATATTACGTTTGTTATTGCGCGCGGCGAAAACATGAAAAGACGAACCGCGCACACGAGTGATCCCATGTGACGTTGTGTACGTGTGTGTGTGTGTGTATGTATATACGCGTGTTATATCGGTCGGCAAATCGTCCGTGGCCAAAAAGAGCCGATGAGGAGAGGTCGGAAAGTGATAGGGTGGCGTGTTTTGCATGACGGCAACGGCTATTGTCCGCGATCAATGGGTCGGAGAGCGGCGCGTTTTCGGTCCATTGTGCCGCGCGCTCTACTCGCGGTCCGCGGGCCACCCGCACTTTGCCCATTAATAACGCGGAGACGCAGCCGCCGACGGGATAAACGTATATATTATTAGTATTATTATTGTGCGCGTACATAATGTATACGAGGAGTACCTACCTACTGCCGAGAGGAGTCGGAAAGAAGTCGTGGATTTTTTTTTTTTTCGTCGAGGATTCGTATTTTTTAATTTTTTTAACCGCGACTATAGGAAGCCGCTGGCCACTATCGGTGGCAACGCCGGCGGCGTAGAGTGTACCGTGGACGTACTTGTATATACATATAATAAGAGTATTATCAGTGTAAGAATGATGATGATTTACCAGACCCCTGGTCGCATCTCGCGCGTATAATCAGTCAGTCGTTATTTCAGAAGTCAGATTTGAATAATTAGGCTTAGCACGAGCAATAGTGACGACCGAGACATTATAATATTATAGTAACGTGTCCGACGAGTGAAAATCGCGTCACGTGGATAGAGTTATCTTTATATATAATATACATGTTATAAATAAAATAATATTATACAAAAAAAAGGGATTTTTAAATACGACTGGCTCGCCGGCCGACCGCGTGTTTGTTCCGAATAATTCGGTCGGATACACATCAAAAACGTCCGTTCGGTATTGTGATAGTGTATTTGTTATGCCTGCACATTATTATAATGTTCGGATCGGGAGGGTGAAAAAAAAAACTCGGACTACATCACTGTCCGAGCGTTCCCGCGTGTATACGTAAAATACAATAATATTGTAATTGAAAATCAATCGGCGAAAAAAAAAAAAGAAGAAAAAACTACCAATACGCCTCGGACCAAGGTGCTTAGCATATATATTCGTATACTATACCAAAACTGAGGTTTATAGTTACTATATTTTATTGTAATACGTACGAGTGTATTATGAACAGCGAACAATATATAAACGAGGGACCGGCAAAACGTTTGGTTTTTTCGTGTTTACGCGGTGTTTGTGATGCGCAGTCTTATCGATCGGTTAAGTCGCGGCCACACACGTTCCGGTCGGTATATTTCATATTAGGCCTGTCCGGTTCGCCAAAATTTAAATATATTATAATGTTACTGTAACTGCTATGACTGATGAATGTTCGGACTATCGTTAGTTTTCCCCGGGGGAATAAAAATACAAGCACTTTGCTTTTACCTCCGAAAAATCGCGTACGATTTCTTCCGAATAGAATAACAAATTTAATCATACAAATTCGTATAATAGTTTTTAATCGTTATGAAGATCTCGCAACCACCAAATTTTGAAAGTACTTTCTCGTTATGAAAATCTCAATTTCAAATTTCTATTTAATAAAACAATATTGATAGAAAATAATAATATTTATAGGTGTATACAAATTATCATTAGGATGGCGACCATTAGGTATTTATTTTGGTAATGGACGGAAACGGTCAGTGGAAGAAAACGGTATACCGTTTTCTTAATTTTTCTTCATTATCTCATTACCACATAAATGGTAGGGGTGGGGGTTGAAAGCTGAAAATCATATCCTTGGTACTTACGCCATGCGTATAAAAAATGTCATTCTTTTGGTTTCATTCGGTTGTATGTGGAATGCTAAAACACTATCCGCTTCACGCAAATACAAAACAAATATAATTCTCGAGTTAGTGTCCATTTGTTTCAGAGGGAGCTGCTAAAAGCGAACAAAAGTAGCTGGACGAAGATATAGAATACATAATATGTACTGGCACTAATTAAATTTGTATTGGTTTTTTAGTCGAAATTTCCCCAAAAAATTGAATAATAATAATTGCATAAATACAAATTTGCGGAAATAAAAGTGAACGTGTGTTGCACACCAATAGTGTTATCTTTAAGTTTTATTTTTATTTCATACAGCGTTATTCCTCTAGTTAATTGGTTTTTTGTTGTTATTTTAATCGTGCTCCAACTCGTTTGTGATCGAGAATATTATAGTGACGCCGACGGTGACCGAAAAAGAGAAAACGCGCTTTTATAGCCAGAAATTAAAATAATATTATTATATTGTACCGTATGTGTGTAGCTGCCGCTAATTCCGGCGTGTTATTTAATTATCGAAATAACTCTACGGTTGTTTAGAAAAAAAACAAAATTATATTAGGTACGTGTGATAATACTGCCAGAAACCACTTGTCTAATAATATCCAGCGTGTCTGCGATAGTGATTTATTATGTTATTACGTCTAAAATACTAGAAGAACGAGTATAAATTATAATATTTGGAAAATCGTTAGAAAAAAATAATAGGTAGGTACTTACCCGTAATATGCGAAATTCAAACGAATTCATCATAATATTAGACTCTATAATTTAAAAACTCTCGTATTATAATACGAGTACGTTATGTCTGCCACCCCGTGCGAATCAACTCGGTTATTTTATTTATTTTTTTTTTTAATTAAATTAATACAACGTTTTTTTTTAATTGATACGATATTTCATTTTGACCCGTACGAATGCCGCGGCGTGGCGGTGCGATAATCGTTGAGGACAAAACGAGTTTTGTTTTTTTTTTTTTCTCAAACAATAATTCGTATAATATTATAATAATAATAATAATAATAATAATATTATACACACGCGTACTGTTTCGATTAAGTAGCCGACGACCGCGCAGTCGGAACATCAGGAGGGGAATATAGGAAAAAAATGTACATATAATATAACTGTATAATTTATTGCGGCGCAGCGGCGGCGATCGCATAAACGAAACGGAGAGAGAGGCAGAGATATAAAATGTATAATAATAATATGTGCGCAATTTAATATTTTCACTGCCATTCGTTATTTATACTACGTCGGTCCCAACACTATAATAATAATAATATATACTGCAGCCCAAGACAAATGTGTCATTGTAACTGCAACAGGGCTTATTACGAATACTCCGAACTCGTACCGTTTACGCATCCTGTACACACACACACACACACACACGATCACATTCTCTAATAATTGTAAAAAAAAAAAAAAAATTAAAAACTATTATTATTACGAATATACGTGTCGTGTTATCTGCATAATAGATTTCCAAAGCGACACCTCTCGCTATGCTTCTGCTTTAAGTATCTATCGTCGTTAGCTATCTCAAAGAGTGATTTTTCCCACCTGACCCGGAGAAACGACGTATTTCGGCGACAATAATATCAATTGATACGCGATACTGTTTCGACATTCATATTCTTCTTGGATTTTTTTCCCTGAGATTGTTCGGGGTTTTTTTTATGTGTATTTTGTTGTATACGACTCATTTTTGAGTTTTTAGAGATACTAGGTATTCATTCTGAAACGACGCCATAATTTAGGGCCTAACCTAATTATCTGTAGCACTTTTCAGCTTTATCTCAGAATCTAAAACTGAAAAATCAAATTTTCCAAAATTGTTTATTTGACAAAAAATAAGCAGACCTTGTTCTACCTGGTGGCTACGCCATCACTTAATTAATTAGAGTTTACTTAATATCAAAAAAAAAAAAAAATTAACTATTATTGAAGTATTAACAGATCTTAGTCTGAATCGAAAAAAATATTATCAAAAATGGTTTTGCTTTTGCAGTCTTGTCTTACAGCAGGACCAAGACAAAGACAGTGTTGACACTAGTAATACCAACATCAAAATTTTAGTCTGCAAGACCAGGATCAAAATAATACCAAGACTGCTAGAGATCGTCCTGAAGACGATCGAGCAGATAAAAAGTTTAGGATAGAACCACTAATAAAAACCACCGTTGCTGTGTCTAGTTATCCGTGATCTAGTTATCTAGTTATAGATGACTACATTATATTATAAAGTTGTATTTTATAGTTGTTTTAACAATCACAAACTAAATCCTATACAAAAATCCTGCGATAGGTATTTAATTTCATCTATTAAATTTATGAATAAAGCAAGACCGAGACCGACATCAATACTATTTTTTACAGGAAAATTAATTCTTTAGGAATTGTTTTTATATTTCCGAAAAATTATAGAAACAATATAATCTATAAAACTATTAGGTACCTACCTATAAAATGTAATTATTAAACGTATACACCTTCTCAGTGGTATTTTTTCGCATTGAAAATATTTTCCAAAAAAAATTAGTTTTTCAAAATATTATGATGAATTATATTTAAACTATTCATTTTTTTTTTCCCCCGGGACTCAACGGGAAAAAATGGGTTTTTTCGAAAACGACGAGCCCTAAAGTTTTTTTTTTGTTTTCACTCGGTGTATATTTTATTCGACAGACATTTTTTTCTGGATCCATCGCGGTGCGCGCGTACGGATAACGTATCGTTTCACGGTGAAATTCGATGGGTGGAGCGGTACCTACGTATCATACGCATAATATACATAATAATATATGATAATGGTATGTAACAATAATCGATATTACGCCTGCGAATAATGGAAATCGACTCGTAAATTCAAACGCGCTAATACCCCGTTCGGTGTTCGCGACGGTGTAGCACCGGTGCGGAGCCACGGCGGCAGCGGCGGCGGCGGCGGCGGTTCGTTTGACCGACAAAGGGGACAAAAACACGAAATAATATCACCGCCGCCGTCGAGGGGCTCCGTTTTTGTTGTAATAATAACACACACACACACACACACGTCTCAGTCTCGCGAATGCCTTTTCGTATTGTATTTTGTATATATTATAATATATATTCCATAATAATAATAATAATAATAATAGGTAGTAATAATACGTTCTCGTCTTTGGATCGCGCGTCACCGGTGCTGCCCATTATGTCGCACTGACATCACTAGCCCGGTGGCCCCGGGTGCGCGGCTTCCTTTTTTTTTTTTTTGGGGGGGGGGGAAGAGGCCGCCGGCACCGCCGAGTCACCCGCAGCATAATAATAATCGTGTAAACCATTGTACGTGTATACTATGCGGAGTTCGCGAGCCCCGCGTGTGTCAATGAAAACCGAAAATATACGCCGACCGAAATTGACTCCCCCACCCTCCTCCCGTCCGTATATAGTGTAATAATAATACGATATAGTATACAAACGGGCAATTTGTTGCAGTAGTTTTTATTACATCGACACCTTTTGCTAAACAACGTTTTCTTTTTTTTTCTTTTTTTTTTTTTCATTCTTATCGGTCCTTTGACACGATGCCGACCACACAAGCCGCCGCCGATGCCGCCGACGACGTTATACTATCGCACAATAATAATATAAAATATTATACATATTATACAGGTAGACGGACCGACGACGTCCGCAAAAATATTATATTCGATTGTCGGACAAGAGACACACCGACCGCGGGAAACGTGCGCGATGATGATAATATATTGTCTGTCGGCGACGGACTCGCGTGTTTTCGGTAGGTACCCATTATTGATGAACAAATGTTTCGTGTCAACGGCGAGCCGCCAATGTTTTGCCGCGGGAACACATTGCGTCAAAGCGTTTATTATAGCGCCGCCGCCGCCGGACGCGGTAGCAGGTGAACCGAACCCAAACGAGGAAGACCGGCGTTCGTCAGGAAATATCAACGTGGGCGGATGTAAATTCCGGAAAGCGTATTTCTAAAACGTAATAAAAACCGAGTTTATCCAGAACGTATTATTCGGCCGGACCGTATTTCTTCGACAGTCGTATTCGTCCGGTAAACGGAAAACCGTAAATCCTTTCGCCGGAAAGTATTCGTCCGGGCCGCGTACTTTGCAATCGTATGCACACTCAGAACTGACGCTTGTTGTACGTCGCCCGGTTAGTATTAGAACTAATCAATATAAATTCCGAAAAAAATAGAGATTTTAGTTTTTAGATTCTGAGAAAACACTTTCCGGATGAATGCAGTCCGGCGATTTATAGTCTTGTTAAAAACTGTAGGAAATTATACTTTTCGGATAAATATGGTCTTAAGTTTTATCTTCCGGGAGAAGTACGGTCCGGAGAAATGCTTTTCGGGAAAATACATTCCGGATAAAATACTTTCTAGATTGTTATAGTCCTCCACAAATGCTTTAAAAAAAAATAAAAACCTTGTCTATGGTCATCGCGACGTTAATATGTTCGCTATAATATGATTTGTCTACATTTTTTTTTTTATAAAACTATGATCGTTTTATCGGTCAAAATATACTCGACCAAGTAAATTTTGTAAATAACATTTTGCAGGATCGACTGGACGATGAATCATCTGAACGGTTTCTGGCAGCCTGTACAGACAAACCGGACTGTGTTGTCCTATTTCGTTGAATCCTATTTTGCCGAAAAAAATCAAGACTTTAAATGGTAGGTGCTGGTCTAGCCGATTTTGCTTTTCTCATATATTCATATATGTCATCACATAATTATTTGACAAAATTAAATATTAATTTTTTAACACTTCATTGATTTATTTTAACATGTACTCGTTTTGATAAAATTATTCAAAAAATTATTTTTTTTTAGATTTGTTTAGGTTTAGTTAGTTTCATTTTTTTGATTTTCCATGTATTTTTCTAATAATTGAATGAAACAAGAAAATTTACGTCATTAACGTTTTCATTGTTTTTACATATTGATTTTTGAAATTGTCAGTGAATCAAAATTTACCTATGGTAGGCTTTTAATATTTTATAGTAGGCATTATAGGACTTCGGTAAAACTAGTTTTTGCAAAATGGAATTTGTGTAAGTTGTTCATCACCAACCGGACAGGCTGTTAGGATGAAGTTGTTTTCGAAATACATGTTTTATTATTATAGTGATGTGGTAATAACCACAATGTTTTACGGTTCGACATCCATACCGTACAACGATTTACAGGATATACCTTCGTCCTTTGCCTCCCACCAGTCGAACGAAAATATTGTTAATCAATGCAAAAAAAAAAATAAACAACAATAGATTGTAATAATTATATTATATTTTAACGTTCGCTGTATACTTTTAATTTTGGCCATAAATACTGTGATCGTTAAAATGAAAAATAAAATTATGTGCTTAGTTTAACGTAAGAATATTACAAATATTACAATATAGTATTATATTCTTCCCAACTTCTCACCTACAACAGCGGCCGCTCCCAACCCAGTATCAGCTCTCTTTTTTTTTTTTTTTATTATTATTTGTTAACATTATAATATCAGATATACTAAGTGGATAATTAATTTTATATTATTATTTAACTCCGTGGAAACAATATTATAGGTGTGATGTAATCAATTTGGATTTGTTTTTTTTTTCCTTTGATATCACGTTAAACACAATGGAACATATCAGGTATACGATATCGTTTAGATTATTTTTGTATCATTTTTTTTAGATAACCTATACAACTACCTATTTAATCTAATATTTAATGTACCTTTATCATGCTACTAAATAGCTAACATCGATTTCATGTTCTATAATATGATATTATTATATTGAACGTCCGATGAAAACGAACGTAGAGTTTTTTTTTTTTTTGTTACCATGTTTAAGCTTCGGATTAATTTAAATTACATTAATTCTACTTGTTGAGCAGATACACTTAACGATATTTACCTATACTTAATCTCATTATGTACTTTGGTACTATTTTATTTAGAGATCTTCCGACTGTTATTATATTCAAACCGTCATATTTGTCGATAAATCAAATTAATTATTATTATCCAATTTTTGGACCATTATTATAATAACAACAGTCTGTCTGTATGACATTTTTCGTCTTTAAACATGTTTTTATGATAATAATAATTAATAACATTTCGTGTTTTTTTTTTTTTTTAGCGTCCAAACCAATTACGTGCATTATTATTTCTTTCGTTATTACTTATGCATTTAAAATGTAAACCGTTCTTTAAACTTTCACTTAATGACTGATTTCTTATCACATACGTTGCCGACGACGACGTACGACGTCTAATTAAACGCATTGTCGACTCTGAAAGAATATTATTGCAAAATAAATTAACGGTCTCGTTTCTACGTTCGCAGACTCGCCTATTTTTGTCACCTGCAGTACAGAACAACGAACAACTACTAATCTTCACCCCAAAATATTATTACGCAGAAAATATGTCGTTACGACATAATATAATAATAAATAATTCTATGATTCCCGGGGAGAAGAGTTCATTTACATTTGCCTAGTTATTATTTATATCCCCAATATTTGTATTGTTAGTTTTACTTATCAAAAAAAAATTTATAGTAACCGCAAAATGATGAAAATATTAAGCAGTTAAACAAGAAAATTGTACTAAAGACGTGATATCTGTAATATGCGCCGTCTTCGGCTTTGATACACATGACATATCTCTTATTAGTATTAATATTATAATAAATTGACTTATAATCAAATTTAAAATCATGAACATCGTGTGTGTTTAGACGTTGATTTTTTTTTAAAAGTTATTTTAATTTACAAACGAGCTATACACATAATATTGAACTATATTAATACTAGTAGTATAAAAATAATGATAACATCGATGTCTATTTGTGTGTTTGGAGTAACTTATTGAGCATGCCTTTATAAGAATTATGCTGCTTTATTTGAGTTATACAGTCTTTTTTATCTGCACGGTGTTTTCCCGAGGACACACACTGACATATTAAGAGATTCTACAAAAACTTCCACATTTCTTTATTTGTTGGAGTTTCTTGCTGTTTTATTTTTCTACATCATCAGTGTCAGCTTGTTTGAAAATTCAAAACTGCATTCCAGATTTTCTCTTCTGTTATAAAGAACTGACGTGCTATTTTATAGTCTAATTGATTTTGAATGTTTTAATATACAGCCAGCCCGAAACATTTTGTTTTAATTATGTTAATTAACCGTGTTCCTAATAAGTGGTTTATACTGTATTTAGGTAATATTAAAACTTACTACGACATATTTACAATAAGCCGTGCACGCGTAATTCCCATCTTATAAAAGACTGGAATGAATAGTACAGTACGTGTGGTGATTGAGAGAAAGACTGATGAGAAAAGTTAAGTCAATTATTGGCATAAGACTATTCGAGAGGCCAATGAGACTATCACGTCCGAAATGGATTGACTTAGTAGGAAGAGATCGACAAAACCTCATAACTATAATATATGGAGCAATAAAGATTTAAGCGTAATCGAAGGGGTAAAGGACCCGAATTTCCGTTTTAGGTCTAGACGAAGAAGAATTAGAAGAAGTAAAATATAATATTATCGTCGGTATATTTCGTTATTGTGCGGCATTGAGTATACTTGCATTATTATTATAATTATTAGCATTTGTGACGTTCAAAAATCGTAATTTTCACCATTATTTTTTTCGTATATATAAACACGCACAATCGTGTCGTTTTTTTTTCAATTTTTTTTTAGGAACTTCAAGGTTAATATTCTTACATTTTGTTTAATTATTGTCGTTGTCGTCGGATATTATACATACATATATGTATATATTATACATATTCTCGCACGCAGTATATTATTATCGTGTCCCATATTGTACATAATAATAATAATATTATTATTATAATATACATCGTCCAACGATCGCCGACCACTCTATTGGCGGCGTATTTTTAATACTAACCGAACGCCCTTCTCTCTCCACGTGTGCGCTATTATAATATTATAGCATAATATGTGCGCGGTTCACGACAGTCCGTCGACACTTCATTGTAATTTCGTTTTTCAGGTCACTTCATGGATTTTTCGTCCGCTTCTCGTGAATATCGTGCTTGTGAATATAATAATAATATCATCGCGGTTCTAACAATAGCCGCCGCGAGAAGTTGCTGTATAATATGCAGTACCGCCGCGAATATCGTTTTATATATATATGAATATTTTATATTATATTTGTGCGATCCTACGTCATTGTAATCGTTCTATCGTCGTCGAAAATTGATCGATGTCCGTCCAGTATAGGTGTAAGCGTACCTATAATACATTATAAATATATCGTCAACTGCGATCGGCATTCCGAAATAATGTGTTTCACTTGTGACTTCAGACAGTATTATTGTACCCAGGGTTCGGTATATTCCAAGTATCAATTACCGGATTATGTCCGCTATCCAAGTTTGGCTAAGCCCGAAACGTAACCTATAGTCAGTTTAAAAAGTTTTCATAAAAATTTTTATAAAACATTATCCTCTTTTGTCGGTTTAAACCCGGCACTTCTCCAAAAATATTAATATTCCAAGTGCAAACCTAAAACTAAATTTTTAATCGATGAAAAATCATTTGCGTATATATATATATACTGCCTAGCCCGAACTCGAATTGGATAAATAAGCACACGCCCGTATGTTTTGAAACATGAAAAAATCAAAGAAGAATCGTTTAAAATAAAACAAAAAAATCGATTAATACCCTCGTGTGTCTGTGTAAAACGGTGAGAAATACGCTTTTAAATTCGAATTTATATAATTCTTACTCGTATTCGTTAGATTTAACTACTGTATAAGTACTAAGAACATATAATTTTAGCATCGAAAAATAACAAAGATGATAGCGTATGATTTATCAGTAAAATAATTTGATGAGTCCTAAAGAAGACTTGGGGAAAATTGTCCTATTTCGGATGTATACAGGAACAAAATAAAAAGAGGATATTTAACCTAGAATTAATGGTGTCTGAATAAAGTGCAAAGAAACGTCAGGTGTTTTATGTAATAAGAAAAATCCAAAGAGATTTAAAGGTAAGTTCTATAAGAGTGTGGTGAGACCCATTATGTTATTTTATATGGAGTATTGAGTGGTATAGACAGAAAAATAGGACGGAGAATGAGTGTATTAGAGATGAGAATGCTAAAGTGGATGAGTGAAATGACGAGAGAAAATTTGATAAGGAACAAGTACATAAGAGGTAGCATATAGGCATATCTTCGATTGTAGAAAAGTGAGAGAAGATAGACTGTGGTGATTTGAGCTTATCATGAGGATAGAGGAATCAGAAGCAGTAAGAATAATAATGCAAATAAACGTAGAAAGAAAAAAGGAAAAGGAACACCCAAAAAGAGGTTATTGGGTGTTCTTGAGAATAGTATGAGAACATTCAAAGACAGCAAGTGCATTTGAGGTAGGAGATCGAAGCAAGTGGAAGTTTAAGACGTAGGTAGCAGATACCAAATAGTTGGAATGAAGGCGAAGGAGAAGAAAACTAATTTTTGTTATTTCTTGACGATAATCGACTATAATATAATATGTAATATGTAATAATATAATAAATAATAAATGTAAAGTAAATTTAAATATAATAAATATGTGGTATTATGTTTACACTCTCTTTAATTCGAATTATTTCTCGTTTTCTCTTAATAATTCAAACTTTCGACAAATCTAAAAACTTCTATAAATCGAATTTTCAGACCTAATTTCAATTTCGTTTACGCTGTGTATGAATCGTTTATATTTTATATATAATAGGTATTGATGTACTATTATTTATAGCTGATAGCAGATCTAACAATCGATCTCGCCAATAACTTATTTCTGATTCGGTGTGAAATGAATGTTCCATTACCGGTATACACATATAGTAGTTGTGCGTGTAATAAAGATCCCGAAATGTCCACTCGAAAAGAAACAATTTATATCACCAGAGGGTGGAAAAATAAAATATATACTATTCAAACACGTATTATACCCACTATAATATTATAAACGTGCTGCCGGGTTGATACGTTCTAAAATATTACTATATTATGTGTTTACGATACGATTGTTAAAACAGCGGGACGGAATATACGCGTATACGATATTATACACATATTTTGTAGGTATCCCGCAAAGTCCGAAAAATGCCACCGAACCTATATAATATAATGAAATGTATAAGCTGCTGTGCAATACTTAATGATGCGCCCACATCGTGTTATTATTATAGTATCCGGAAGCCAGATACCCGCGTCTGCGCATGACGTGTTGTGAAATCATTAATAAGATAATATTTTTGTTCGGCGATCCGGTAGCCGCGGCCGCTGCCGAGATACCCGACGACAATATTACACTACTTGCATACAACAGAATAACAGAGCAGCGACGTGGTCTTCATATACGACGACGCGATATAAATAATAGCCGCGGTGTGATTAATGGAAATTTTTTTTTTTTTTTTGTAGTACATAATATATAGACTCCATCATAATAATATAATGTACTTTTCACGGGAGCATTCCGGAGCGGTCGCGGCTGCGAGATGTTTTCGCCCGAAAAACGGTCAATTATACCGGGTGCACCCCGTCGTTGTTGTCGACGACCAGCAAGTATAATAATAATAATATAATGTTGTATACTATATTATTCGGTTTTCGGCGATCGATCGTGTCCCGAAACACTCTGGTGGTGTTCTCGCCAAACCGTTTTAGACCCGTACTATTACTGTAACTAGCGAGTCGAAAAATAACCATTATCATTATTGTCGGGTGGTGACCTGTTGCGTAGCCTACCTGTTTACATATATTAGGTACCTACCGACATAGTGCATTATGTACACTGCGACAACGTTTTTAATGATAGTGAAAATTATATTATTAATAATGATAATAACCACGTGAGTTTCTGTGCGCGGTCGCCGAGTAAAAAGGTGTGTTCGATACATAAAAATTATAATAATATTATATAAAAGCCGGGAAACGCGGACTCCCGCGTAATTTTATTATTTTTCGTGCCAACCGTGTTCGACCACGAGACATAATGTGTAATATAAAAAATATAATTTTTATTATAAACGAGCTCCGCGAGTACCTGGTATTATTATTTTTTTTTTTAAGATTTATGTCAGAACGCGTACTAGAAAAAAAAAAAGCCAAGTCCCGAATACGACATAAATTAATCCGCTGCGATTATTTAACTAGTGTATAATATTATTATTATTATATACCGTTTTATCTACATACACGTGGGAACAAATTTAATAGACGATAAATTGAACATAATGAGCAATTTTATATTACATTATACACGAGTACGATATAGGTAATTTATCTGATAATTTGCGTGTTTTTCTGCAGTTTTGCAGCACGGGTGATTTAGTGCGGTTACGCGAATTTCGAAAATTAATGCATCACGTCAAACGAGTGTATATATATACTATATAAAGTAATATATATTATAATTTTAAAACATAATATTATATATTCCAACATTGTACCGAAATTATTAAACGATTGTATAGTATATCGTGATAATATATTATCGCGGAAGAATTATATTAATTCATTTTTTCGTTTATTTAAACTTTACTGTCATACTCGCATAATAAATAAAAAAAAATCCTTACATTTCTATTTCGAGGCTAAAAATCTAGTTGAGAATATTGTAAATTATCTGACAGGAACGTATAACCGGGATAAAAACTATGTGTGTTAATCCAAAACATATTTTTTCTGTGTACCAAATTTAATCCAAATCTGTTCAATCGCTTTGGAATATTATAACGAATAATGATTCCCTATTTGTACAAAACTATGTACTTTTAAATTTCATTTTTGAATGTATTTTAGAAGTTTAAACGGTATAGGACACAGTGTAATTTAATTAATCATCATCAGTATATCAGTAACGATACATTTCATCCTCGCCAAAAATAAATGAATAATTTGAAAAAAAGTAAAATTATTATCATATAATAAATACCATCTAACCAAAAATTAGCATCGTTTTAAGTACGACGGGAATAGAATCTTGAGCAATTTTACTAACCGAAAAAAATAAAAACAAAAAAACATCTCAGTAAAATCTCGTTACACACTTAGAGTCTGAAAATTAGACTGTAGCAAATTAAATATTGATCACCTGATAATTGGTACAGGTATTAATCATCGTATTATTGCGACTTGATCTATATTTTACCGTTTATGCGTATAGTTATGTTGATTCTTTTTAATATTATAACGATCACTTGGAAACTTTTTAATTAGACGCAAATAAATTACGGCAATAACGAATACATTATTGTTATACTAAGAATTAGCTAATCTTATTTCAAGGTACTTACACCATCTGAGTAACCTAGATTGGCTGTAATACCTCATATTGTAGATTATTATTGTACAATATTAATATTGTATCCGTGTTTTATACAATCTGTCTAAATTTTAAAATCCTTAATTTTATGTTATGACCATAAAATATAAATCATATCAATATATGGAAATGTAATGTAGATGTCTTACACAAATGTATAAAATGAATAGTAAATTCAATTTTTAAAATTTTTTTTTTTTTTTTGGTTTGTGAGCTAATTATTGATCTTTATTACGAAATTTCAGATTTCGAAAACGTTTGAAGGCAACCTGCAGGCAGCAATAGTACAGTTCGGCGATGATAACTCAAATCTGTTAGTATGTAATCCGAATAAAAATGCTCTTACCTGACAGTATTCCGTCGATTGAGTAATTACTATGACGGTCCACTGATCTGATGGCCGTGTCTCTAATAACTTCCTCCGAACAGTAAGAAGTTCGTTTCGAACAGTTTTTCTATAAACAAAACGAATAAATAATAATGTATATAACTATGATTATCGATACGGTAATTTATGTTTTCCGTTAAAAAACAATATAATAGCAATTATAATATATGTATCCATAGCGTGAATAACATAATAATGTTTTAAATAATAATATTATGCTGCAACAAGGCGGGTATGGGTGTACGAAAATAGATGTATGATTATAATGTTTTATGGAAACACTGCAACGTTGCTAAATGCGGGATCTCGATGATTATTATTATTATGCATAACGAGACGAAAAACGTAGAAAAAAAAATAATTTGATATATTATTTGAAAACATTTTATCATTATTATTATTAATTTTAATTTTTTTTTTTTTTTGATAACGGCTAATAACTCGGGGCGTGCAAGAAATACCGCTGTTGCAGCAGCAGCCGGACGAGAAACAACATGCAACGGGACGTGTATATTGCCGAAATTATCTCGGGATATTTTTTTCTATATATTTTTTTTTTATTACCGACTATAAAAAACAATGGGCCATAATACACACGTACGGCGGCTTGGAGCCGGATTGTCTGGTGATGTTACGATATTATATTATATACGGACAGGTATATAAGGCGAATAGGTGAAGCCGAGGAGAGGAAAAGAGAGAGAGAGAGAAAGAAAAGAGAGAAAGAAAGAGAGGAATGTGTCGTACACGCACACAAACACGCCGAAACACTCGTCGGGGTCCATTAATTAATAGCAGCGCGCAGGCGGTTCGTCGCATGTTGTGGGGGGTCTATTAAAGACGAAGGAAAAAAAAACAGAAATGCCAACAGCTAAAATGATTGATCAGGAATTTATGGCGTGTGTGTGCGAGTGCAGTATTATACCTATATAAAATTATAAAAAAAAAATATGTATAAAATGTAAAAAAATAAAAGGTGTAGTTACTAAATATTCATGAGATCTCGTATATACACTGTATACAAGTTTCACAATGTGTCCCGAAAATCCCTTAAAGCCATCGGAACAAGAAACGATGATGACGACGTCTTCATCATCACTTATATATATATTATGTTATATAGTCGGCCTGATTTATTGGCCATTTTTTTTTTTTTTTGTTTCGCCAATAATTTATTTAAAAAATAATATTCGAACACCGTAAATACCTATATAATTATACAGTAAAGGGGCACGCGCGCGTACTAACAGAATAATTTATATCTTATCTAATGGTTTTTTTTTTTCTATCGCCTTCGCGACGTTTATTTAAATTAATTCAAAGTACCTTTACCATATAGGTTAACTATAATAATATCGCAGCAGTGTCGTTCGTTAAAGTCTCTTGCGCTCACCTAAAAAAACGTCTCAACTCTGAACGCCCGCCGTAGCTTTTATCTCCTTTATTTTTCAACAACAATTTCATATGACATAATATTAAATAATAAATTATAATGTGCTGATATGAACTTTTTTCCGATACACAACCGATCACCGATTCGGTTTTTGAAATTGAAAACTACGAAATGATATTGAATTTATTAACCGATACACTATAAGGTATCGGCTGAAACCCTGTTGCCTGATATTTAACCAATATATTGTACATAACGTAGACATACGTATAAATTAAATCAAATTGTTTATAAAATTAATTACTAATTGAAGATAACACAATATTTTAGATTTTTGAAAAGTGTAGGGGTTACATTATTATATTAGCGTTAAGGTACACGAACTGATATATCAGATACTTTTATATTTTAAACATAATATAATAAATATTATATTTTATATATAATGTTATATTAAATATTAATTGTGATGCAATGTCTAGAAAGTTTATAAAAACTCACTACCTATAATATAATATTTTCTTTTTTTGATTAGATAAAAAATAATTATAATTATTATACTGTAAGGCAACAATTAAAAAAAAAAAAACAATAACAATATAATGTTTGATTTCCGTCAAACTTCTGACAATATATTTGATTCTTAAGTTTAGGTAGGGGAGACTATAGGTGCAATAATAAAACGCCACGCGTTGTGTCGCCACACAAATGATACTCCACTACTTTCCCTCTTTCAAAACATAAAACTGAAATATCTCGTCAACGGGTTGACGTAAATCAAACATTTTGACACCAAAATGTATTTAAAACAGTACTCCGTCTATTAATGGAACTTTTAATGTTTTGAAAAATTTAAGTATTCGAAAATATCGTTTTTAACTATACTTAAAAATTTAAAAAATCAGAATTTGAATACATGCAAAATTTAACCAAAAAAATAGAGTGAGCATGCTTAGTGAATCACTTTGTATAATACTATATGTATTATGCGACCGTTTTCATGTCAGTACAGTTAATTTATTATGTGTAATTGTGTATTGTATATTGTCTATTTTGGTCAAATTTAGTGCTTTCTTCTCCCAAACATTTTGACTTTCACCCCCTATTTTACCTATTTTAGTAGTGAAATTTTCAAAAATCTTTCCTTCAAAACGTTGGATACTTCTCTATTATATAGGTATTTTGTACAATTCGTTTTATTTAAGAATAAATAAAATTATTCTCACACTCTCCATCTCCCAAAAAGAAATCATATATTATAAATACAAATGTTAATGACAATGACGGACATTAACTCGTTAAAATATTATAGTTAAGTTAAAAATCATAAGCATCCAGTTTTCTTAACGTTTTAAAGACTGACATTTTATGGTTTTTAAAAAAAATTAAATTATAACTGATTTATATCACAAATCACGATATATGATTAATTGCTTTGATATAGTTTATTTGTACAGTTTTAAACTCTATATTATACTGAATATTGAACATTATAGATTCTGAGCGAAACGAGGAATATGTATTGGTTTTACAATGATTATTTTGTTTTTATTTTTTTGTTATTATATATTGTGTTAAAATATCTATTTGAAACCTTGCTCGATTTTTATTACCTTCCTTGAAAAAATTATTTATTAAGGTGGTAATTTAATAATATGATTGTTTTGATTTTTAAAGAAGTTTTCATAGTATTTAGGAAAAACTGGAAAAAAATGTTTTTTTTATTTTCAATTTTGTTTGGAGTGGAATGAGGAAGCTTATGGTTTTACAAAGATAATTTTTTTTTTCTGTAAATAACTTTTCTACTAGAGATCTTGCTCCGATTTTTAAGTGTATTAACTTTTATGAAAGAAAATCGGCGTGGGAACTTTAGCGGGGTTATTTTTCGATTTTTTCAGGAGTTTTCTCATGAAATGTAAAACCGAAAAAAAATGGAGGAGAAACGGGAAAATATACCAAATGTATTAATGAAATACTACAGGGTGATTCACTAAGCGTGCTCACCCGATTTCTTGGTTAAATTTTGAAATATTCAAATTCTGATTTTTGGAATTTTTAAATGTAGTTAAAAACGATATTTTCGAATACTTAGATTTTTTACAGCATTTAAAAATATCTTGTGGTGATACCAACGTTGGTTTTGCAAATGAAAATCTATAAAGAAAATTCCATAAATACATGAAATATTAATTTAAATAGATTTTGGTGTTCAAATTTTTGATTTCTGTCAAACCGTTGACGAGATATTCAACTCTTAAGTTTAGGTAGGGTGTGGTGGCACGGCGTATGACGTTTTAATTATTTGTAACAGAAAACACGCTTAATGAAAACACCAGTAATCTAATATTGATAATGTATCGGAATTATACTTCTAGATAAAGTCATAACATGACATTTTCCAAGTTAAGAGACAATCCTAGCTGTTGGACCCATGAAAATAAGTTATTTAATTCAGAATATAGAATAAAACAATTATCACGAGAGTTAACTTCAAGGAAAAATTTAATATCATTCATGAATAAAGGACTTTATGTTATATATAAGCAGCGGCGTACACAGGGGGGAGGTTAGTGGTTATATCTCTCCCCGTTGGTTTAAAAATACAAAAAATATAAGTTATTTCATATTTAAATCCATATATTTTAGCTAAGTTACGAGAAAAACATGATTTATTAATTATAAATTGGTCTTTTTGAGGACCCGGCTTTTAAATTACCAATTCCTATAGCCGAGTTAGGTAGAGAAAATTTTACGATTCTAATTTGCTATATCCTCTCCTATAGGAAATTCTTGGGTACGCCACTGCATGTAGATGAAAAATAAACTTGTGGACTGTGGTTATATATTATATAGAATTATAGTTATACACATTGTGAATTATTTTGCTCGTAATGCATTGTTTCTGAGAAGAAAACAGATTCTGGAATCTATTCGTGATGTAAACATATAGTTAGGTGATTGGAAAAATCGCTTATAGAATGTATAACTATAGTATAATATAATAAATGTTTTATGTTTACTTGGACGTGATCACTGTTTACTATTCCCGGTCGAATGCTGCCAGTCTCCTGGTACCTGTTGAGGATCTTGGACACGCACCCGTGCGATACTTTGAGCTGTCTGGATATGTTGCTGGGCCGTACTCCGGCCGCGGCCATTTCCACGATTTTTAACCGGACCACATTAGGCAGCGGACGACCGTTGATGAACGTGCCGCCCAGCTGGTTCACACGCCCTTGGCCTATAATAAATAGTGGTAATAATTTATAATGTTGCGATCTCGTTTCGATCATAATATATCGTTAGCCGACATCAGATTTATACCTACGAGTATATTCAAAAGATTTTTTTTTATATTACGTGTAATAATGCTATTTACGCAAAATGTATGTATTATTTAAAAGATCAATTATTATAATTAAAAAGTCTCAAAAATTCTTAACGAAAAATGCAATTAGCTTTTAATCAGTCAATTATAGGCATATAATACGCTCAAAAAATGGTTTGGTTAACTCATTTACCTCGTAGACGTCAGATTTCGTTTTTTTTTTTTCAAAACCCACAGAAAATAAATCTAACAAATATCACGAATTTTCAAACGCTATTTATAGCGTTTGGAAATGTGATTTTAAAATCCTGGTTAAAATCTAAATTCAATGTAAAATGTACACATATTTCCAAAAAAAAAAAAAATTAATAAACAAAAATGATTGAAATCGGATCTCTACAAACAAGTTTGATAAAAAAAAAAAGCAGGTCGCATGCAATCCCCTTAAAAGCAAGTCTTATATAGGTATTGAAATTTAAAATTTATGTTATTGATCAAGCTTTTTATCAATAATCATTGTTCTACTATATTAGAGTGACCTGAAGTAATACATAGTTCAATTTAGACAATGTTGGACATCAACAGCAATAGCCTGTGATTGATTACTCTAAACAATTGTTCCAATTATCGCCAGTTATGATGACTGTTGATTATAATAGTATTTTTGTTATATTGAGAATACTGTTGGTATACTATGATTACCAAAAAATCATGAACATTATGTACTTCGGCATCATGAGAAGCAGGGGAGGTCACTTATGTTGTAGATGGGAAGTTTGTTAGGTGCAAAACTATAGTCTATAAAATATGTTTACGGTTTTATATAGGCTAATACAATTAAGTATATTCACTGAAAACAGCTATATAATTATTCATTGTACAAAGAAAAACGATTCTAAGTAAAACATAATAAATTCGTACCGCCATGCCAGATAAAAAAAATCTACGGTTTTTAATGGAGGTGCCGGTGGTTTACAATTTTGGAGCATTTTCACTTGAAAATCGATTAAGCATCTAAAATTATAATATTGTATTATTAAAATTAAAATAATTTGTACTATGGTTTAAATTATATAATATTTCGTTTATACAGGAGTAGAATAAATAGGTAATCTATACGCAATTAAAAATAATCGATGCTTAATTCTTATATTATAATTACTATCCCTTTTTTAGATTTTATTCTTTTTTCACAATTATGCGTCTTTTAATTGTATTTATAACTCTGTGATATGTTCTGTGCATTTAAAAGTCAACTGTTCATTAAAATATGTATCTTGTTGTTTACGATTTTGGTTTTCGAAATTCACCGCACAACCGTACGGTGTAATTATTATGTTTAACGCAGTAAAGTACTTGGGAGACTTTAACTGTAGTGACACATACAAATATCTTTTTTTTTTCGGTTTTTTCAAGTTCATAATACGATACTATATGTTATACAAAACGTATGTTATGTTCACATGGGTCCAAAACTACAATCAATTCCATAATTCATAACCATTTATTCGATTTGTAAACGAATGAAACATTTAATACATTTTCGTACAGACATTATTAGGCGTATGGATTTTTGTGGCATTGATGTTACTGTCGGTTATCAAACGTATAGTTGACGGTGTGTATTTAAATATGTGATCAGACTGAAATATGATTAACGATAACGTGCGTTCGAATGATTTGAAACTCGATGCGATAATCGAATGCATTCTATACACTACGTTGTAGTTAGTGAAGGACTGTCTGCGAATCATATCGCGTCTGTCGGTGAACGACGAATTTCGACGGGAATGATGTCCGGTAAAATAACGTATACGTATAACCGAACCTAAAACGGGGATGTTTTTTTGCATAAAATACGATTCGAATATTTATATGTAATTATTACATTACGATTTACTACAGCCGGACGACTTACCTTGAAACGTGAATCCGTTGTAGTGGGCCGAATACATGACGACGTGGACGTTTCGCCTACGGTATCCGTGGTCGCGGTGGGTGTCCCTATGCGGCGGCGGCCGATGGAATCGCGGTTATCGGGCACGGTATCCGCGGTTACCCGTGTACATAACGCGGTAATCGAGAGTGTCGGACCGGCCGTGGCCGTTTCGGTGCGTCGTACGGTTACGGACTGCAGGTCGGTGGTCGGCGTGTCGCGACGCAACGACGCCGTGTCGATGGGTACGCGCGGTGTCCGTCCGCGGTGCTGTCCGCCGGCTACTGTTTTCGCGTGGCGCTCTCGTGTCGCCGGAAATCGCTCTGCGCGGGCCGCCTGTCCGCGTTTGCGGGAGAGACGCGACACGACGCTTATGACGTTTATACGGTATATGTAGTGCAGCGCGACGGCGGCGACGCTATTACACATAATATATTATAACAAATGACGTGTATACGGGCGAAAGAAAAAAAAAAAATCATACAATACACGATAATATAATAGAATAAATACGCGTACGTGTACGGGCGATAATAATAATTATCGTTCCCGTCAACGGCCATATTCTTTTCAGCGCCGGTTTTCGCGTGTATGTAAGGGGCACCTCGCGGAACCCCTCGCGCAAAAAAGGCCGCGGCGCGGCTATTGGCCGGCGGCCGCGGAATGGGTGTCGACCCGCGCGACGGTGACGGCGTCCCCTCGCCGTACGCCGCCGCCGCCGCCGCCGCCGCTGCCGGCCGGGGCCTCGCACACGCACACGGGCAACACAGAGCCGCGGCGCGCTCGCGCACGCGCACGACCGTCCTTTAGATATTTTGAATACGAGACGACTACGTGTTTGTGTCAGCGCGCGATATTCAATTACGTGCCTTTTGTGCCTTTTTTGTTTTCTTTCTCTCTTGCTCCGTCGCCGTTCTTCTGTCGGCTCGACGTGTTATCGCTTTACGGGAAGAAAAAAAAAAAAAAATGAAAATAAATAAATAAAATATTCAATAATTACCTCGGCCGCACGCGCGAGCTCGCGTTCGGTACCTGCGCGTAGTGGTAAAAAAAAAAAACGTATAATATACGACACATATATACACGATATTATACGTATATAATATAATATAATAGTACAACTAAACACAGTACCGGGTTTAGCATTTCTAATGGGTTTGAGTTCAAAGAGAGCCCGCGCGCACATTGTCTACCAGCACGCGTACACATACACACACACGCACACACATGCGCGCGCGCGCGCGAGCGCACGCGAGTTCGTTATGGAAATTCGTCTCGACGCATTGGCAACCGCTCGCGCGTGCGTGTGACGTCACGTCGTAAAAACAACGGAAGAAATCAAACGAAACCGAACGCGACACCGCGAGACACGGAACTTTACGAGTGCGTCCTCCTCGTCACCCTCACCTCGACAATATTGTTTCAATAATAATTCGGGTTGAATTTGTTTTTGTAATTATTATAAAAAAAATTCGTCAACGGACAAGTACCTACTACGGACGACGACAACGACGACGACGGTATAATAAGTGAGAAAATTCAAATCGAACGAACACGTTGGTTATAGTGACTATAGGTACTTTGAATCAGTGGCGGATTTAAGGGAGAAATGGTTAACTCCTAAAAATTAGGTAATCCCTTATATCGACACAGTATAAATTCCTACACAATATCGTGTAATCTTCTCCAATCAATAGTATAATACAAGGTAAAAAAAAAAATTTTAATATTTAATTGTATTAGAATTTGTTTTTCAATAATGTCAATTTTGTAAGTCTAAGTCTATGATACGTTATTACATAACACCCGATAGTCAATTCAAAATATATTATCTCCAAAAATATGAAAACGTGTAGCTCATAACAAGTGTATTGTAACATGTTACAAAATGCTATAAACGTTACCCATCCCAAACATAAAAATGTTTGCATAGGAGATTACAACTTTTTAGGAGGTAATCACCTTTTTTGGCAGGTAAAATGGGCATGTGTATTATGTACCTAAGTCTTCCTCTGAATTCAGATAAAAATGCTATTCGTGTAGGAGATTTTCTTAAAAATAGTTTCTTGAATTATGTACACCTATGTAACCAAAACAGGTAATTGAGAGGACGAAGAAAAGTATATGTCTGAGACTATGGAAAATATTAGTAAATAATATCAACTACGAGTATATTGAATAAATTGTAGACCTCTTTTTGAAATTTGATTTCAGTCCTTATGAGTTAGTTTTCTTATTGATTTTTATCTAACGTTGCTTTTTGTCTTGAAAATGTATAAATTTAATTCGTTGATATTCATATAGGTATATCATTTTAGATATTAAGAAATATTAATCTACATTCGGTCTGTCTTCTAACGTACAGTAATATTTTTCAGTCGTCTTACACAAAAGGAAAAGATCATTCAGCGGTGGCTGATTATAAAATGGTATTAAACACATCCAAAGAGAGTGGACGTGAACTGCTTAGCCCTTCGTCCCCTTGGATTCACGTCTTGATTAGTTAAAACATAATATTATTTGAATTGTTATTAATATATTAATATTATTAACGGTTGCATTATGAAACTGTACAAGAGAAGACATAATATTATAAAATATATTTTTGTTAAGGTGGTTTAAAGCGATTTGTTTTTCCGTATCTTTAGACCAATAAAATAAACATACATCCCGTAATCCAGTTTACGTTTTAAGCAATTATTGTAATTCGTATACTTCTTTAATATATATTTTATAGGAAAAAATATTTTCATATTTCTTATTTGTGAAACATTTAAGTAAGTATTTATTTTATGTAAAAAAAAAACTCATCGTGTATTTTTACTAAATCAACTAAATAAAAAAACCAGCCGAGAGGTAATGTATGAATTTCACTCCAATGTATTGGTTTAAAAAACATTGTATTCGTCTGGAAAAACGATCGTACTCCTTTCCTTTAAATGGATATTGGATAATAGATTAGCGGAAAAGTCTCACGATTTTACAAAACTGAAGAAAATGTATACAAGTTTTTAACGTTTTTTAATCCAAAGATCTCGGACGGGATTGATATATCCGCTTTTATCGTGATGCTAGGCTTCGGGACGGAATTACGGTACGAAGAAAAGTTCTTTCAGAAATTAATAAACGGGCACGTACCACGGACCGGTTCGACCACAATAGACGATCAATAATAATAAATAATATGTTTCACCCGTTTGCGATTTCGATGCTGTACGGCCGCAAAAAAGAACGTGTCGTAAATCACGTAAGGACGGTTGATAACGCTGCTGCGGAAATCCGTGTGTTTAGTAGTTTTTATATCTTTTCATTATTATTATTATAACACGTGCGGTTTACCGATTGTGCCGTAGCCGTGCGGTTTATACGAACATATTATATTGTGTATAGTGGCGGCGGCGTCGTCGGCGATGTCTGATCCTGACATAATAATATAGTACGCGATAAGTCCGACGGATTTTTCAAATATATTCCGTAAATCGACCGAAATAAAATATTATTCAGATACCGCTTCGGACCATGTCCACGAACCCCAACCGATTTCGGAATCGGATAAACAGTGGGAAATGTATAATTAAGACACTGCGGGGTGGCTAACCGTTCGTATCGCATTATCCGCATTCCGAAGTGCGGCATTTGTTATTTACACACTTAAATCGTTTAGTATTGAAAAAAATAGTTGCATTCGATTTTATTGATTAGCGTATACTAATATTATATAATTAAGAAGTCGGACGTACATCGCACCGGTGTGAGCAAGTCGCTGTTGTAACATGTAGATGGGAAGGTAGAAAACGGAATTATTTAGGTAATTCATATTTATACGGAACGATAAACCATTGTTAACGAAATACGATTCTATTATCTAGTTCGATTAAACATGATTTGAAACGCTGTGATTTGTACGGTTTTTGTCAAAATTGAAACTTAAAAAAGCTTAAAAAAAACTGTTATGTTACGCTTAATTTCTTTTTACCGCTAAAAAGTATAACTCATAGTAATGAATTTCATGTAAAGTTACCAAACATTATGCTCGACTAAAAAAATTTAATCCATCGCATATAATATTTTATAGTTTAGAAACTGTTTGAAATGTTTTTAAAATCTCATCAAGTCTAGACAACGCCAATATAAAATTATGTGAAAATTTCAGATGTCTACGATTATTTTCAACCTAAAAAAAAAACCCCCCAAATCAGAAACAATGAATTCGTTTTTGCGTTAACATTCCTATTTTTTTCGGGTTTTCCCAGTTATTGAGAAAACTACAGAGGCAATCGAAAATTAACCTCCTAAACACACTTAATCGTACCGACTACATACAATTTCCTTTTAGATAAGTTGTTAGGTAATATTACCTTTGCTGTACCAGACGAATTTGATTTTCGAAATCAAATCCAGTCGCAATTTTTTAAAACGGAACAAAACATGATATATATGTTTTCGACTGATGCGGTAAAATTAAAAATCAACAGCTTAAATCATCGTAACATTATTAAAAGTATAATACGTATACGATGCGAATTTACGCACCGTCTCATTATTATTATTATTATTATTATTATAGGTAGGTATCGAAAAACCATCTGCTTCGCTGCGTGCGTACACCTCGTGTGTGCAAGGACTTGGGCGTAATCGCTGCAGCAATGGGTGTCTTTGCTTTCATCGGCAATACAGCAAGGCGAATATAACGTATATTATTATCATGTAATAATATTATGTTCTGTCTATTATGAAGCGACGCAAATAATAACATACAAAACGGAAAATGTGTGCGCGACGGTCGTCGACGACAGCGCCGCGGAGCGGCCATAATATTCGCTAATCAACATTACAGTCGTATGCGTTATGTTACAGGAAGTATATATAGTAGTAAAAATATAATAAGATTGGACGTGCGTTTCTCGTAATGCGAAAATTAAATAGACAGGTATATCGTAAAATTAATCGTACGTAAGAGACGTAACACCATATTCGATAAATAATATTGTAATTAGTATTGATAATGACTCTGTGCAATTTTCGTCTCACGGCGACATCGTAATCGCACGAATTGCACGAACCACAATACGTGGGCATGGTTTCTCGGAAGATATTGGGACGGCAGAATGTTCGCGGAAAAAAAACCGAAACATAAACCGTAATCCAAAAGACTACGATATGTTCGTGTTTGTGCGCAACGAATCGAGGGCAAGGAGGGGAGCTGAAGGAAATGTGTAAACTAGCAGTTTATCCTTTTTTTTTTTTTTCTACTTTAATATATTTATCGGGTAGTATATAAGTATGTACTGTACGACAAATAATATATAATATACAAATATAAAACGACCGATATTGCCGACCGGTTTGCCACTGTTTTATAAAGGATATCGGAAGGG